AACTGAATTGATAACCATTGATGACTGCAACATCCACCTCTGTTAATTTACTGACCTGGCACACTCACTGACTGTCGCTTAGAGTTTGTTTAATCAGTGAGCAGTGCCCTGCACCCTGAAACTTGCCTGTGGTTGTGTACGTAATGTTATCTGATGTATATTACTACAAGATAACACATGCATGCCATCATTTTGTCAAAATGTGGGGCATATTCTGAGCTGCTTTTGTTGATTTTGACGTTATTGATCTCGGTGCATATAGTTGTACGAAGATACAGAAAATTAGTCAACATGCATTACTTAGAAAAAGATTATCTAATTTTTGAAAAAAACAATCGTCGGATAATATACGCTTAACAAACTATGCAGAGGCGTAGTACAGTATTCCATCCCAGATAAACCCTCCATATAACCTATCTTGAAGTTTCAAGACACTACGTAAAACCCCGTCATGATTGACATTCAATATAACTAAACCGACGATGGTTGCGTGCATCTTTAAAAAAGCGAGAAAGCCACTCATCACGATGTAAAACAGACTACTACACGCTAGTCAGATGCACGCCTTTACAATAGCCCTCATTAAATCACGTGCTGGACTGCAGGGCCAAAGAACCCTCCTGTTGGCGCAAAATTAGTTGCTATTTAGGAAGTAATTCGCATGAGGCGCAACTCACCGGTCAGGAGTGGGACCGCGTGTCGGGACCGATGGGATCTGTGGCTGTTGAGGGAATTCAGACTGGGATTTCTGGCCGGTTCTATGGCATCAAAATGGGAGACAGGTGAAAGCAAACATTTTCAACGTGGCCCAATCCCAAGGCAAAGCAGGTTAGTTAACAACTCAGATTTGACAGGCGCGGCTTGTAATTAATCAAAGGCTTCCCCAAATGAAGTCGCATTCAGTAATTTATTGCGCACTCTAACATTATTAAATTCCTAACGACATTAAAAATAAGAGCACTGGGTCCTAAAACTACATCAATCGGTTAAATTCCAAGTCTCTCTGAGTAAGTGGTATTAAAAAAGTACGATAGCCTGCATCCGCCTCAAAAATAATGCATAACGGAAGAAGAAAACGCTAACAGTTCAGTGGAATAGCCAATATTTAAAGTACCTTAATGTACGAATTCTGCAAGCCTGCTTGGGCTCAACAAAGTTCGCAAATTCTGTATTCCTGCGCTTAAAGGCGATGCATATTTTGACGTTTTATTTACATAAAGTAGCTAGGTGGGTCTGAAAGAGCTACATATCTAAATCTAGTCTAATCTCTACCGCGAGACAACCAAATAGGGATGCTTGGTAGCCTAGGGACTGTACATGGTACCGATGTAAAAGTTATATTTAAATGTAATTAGATCTAGCCTTAAATTATAGGAATAAAATAAATTTGACTTTTATACTCATGTACACATTTTTGAGATCCTTTCATTGAAACTTCGACTACTTTTAAACATGAGATCTTGATCTCGATGTACATTAAAAAGTGCGCCAGTCGTTAGTTTATCTTTTACTTAAAAAAATTTAAAAATACAGCTTTATATTAACATTTTTCCCGAAGACGTTTTGTTATATTTACCTGATAACAATTGTAATGGCGTCAAAATAACGAATCTTAACTATCTAGTCAGAAATAACAACGATATGATGGCTACCGCAGGACCTAGTCAAGACATATTGGTTCAATTATGCTCAAAACAAAGCCCTCGTGTTAAGCATTAGTGTTAAAGTGTGGACCAATGTCGTTTCGGCAAGCCTGGTAGCAAAAGCGATAGCCTTAGGGCAGCATCAAGCCATACTGTATTATACTGTTGAGCTCTCTTGAGCGAGGCATATTCCCGACAGGCGTCATTTTCGCTTCAAAGGAGTTTGTGTAATTTTTTGGGCTTTAAATAAAGAAGAATAGTGGTTGCATTAGCACATAAGCCCTCCAAAAAAGGTAGGCGTTGGATTAACAAAAAACCAGCTTAGAAATTACACAATTGGTATCACACTGCACCATCTACCAGGCAACTTGGGCTCATAACTTCATATCGTGAGACACGACATGGCATTCATAAATGTACTCTAAAAAGTAAGACCTAGTAAAGGAGTCACTGTGCAGTTAGCATAATTGCCAATTTAACGCTGAAGCAACACATTCGATTACTATTTTAACTTGTTAAGAAAATGTGGGAGCACAGAGGTTGGTAACAGCCTGGCAAAAATGTGAATTTGCACTAAGTTTGAAATCACCTAGGGAACTTTTTTAATAAAGTGTATTAGAATGTTTTTGAATGGCACTTTCGAAACCAAAAATAGAAGAATAAGAGTCAAATTAAAAAAAAATGTACCACATTTATTATAAACTGGTTATGGGCCTTGATACTAAAATGCATTACCTGAGCTCGTATCAAAAATTGTTGTTCATTAAAGTAAATGATCGCGCCTTTAAGGAATTCAATGGGTCCATGATTCCACAAATCGGCACATTAATGGTGAATAATTAATTTCTTATATCTCTGTTGGGGATCCAGGACTCACCAAGATCGCTCATCGCCGATCTTGGTCAATATGTACGTTAATGCCCCAATATCTGTTCTATTACGCCTTATTGTCAGGTCAAGGTTAACCTTGACTTGAATTAGTGGACACTTTCGCCAATCCACTCCGCACGTGGCTGATGCGATCAGAGTTCTGGTCTTGTTATTGTATCAGCGTGGGAAGGTCGGTCCTCGCGTCAACAAGGGATCTGGTACTGTTATTTGAATGGTTTTCTCTTTGTTATGGACAAACGTAACAATCTCGAAGTTACAAACCCTTCCGTCAACTTGGCACTGTGGCTCAAAAGTTATCAATGCTTTTTTAAGGCAAGGCTGGCAATAACCCAACAGTTCAAGGTAAAGGCTAATGATAGCAATCTTGTTCTTAGGGTACCTAGTCAAAAAATGAAATTTTCTACACTTCATTATAAATAACAGATTAAGTGAGAACTTAGTACTTTCAATTTTGTGAGAGCTAAAGCTGATTATTGGTAGCTTTGATGACTCCGGTGGTTACTAAGGTAGCATTTTATTACAGCTGATTAATTTACTTTAGGGTGTGCGTGCACCGCGACGCATCCCGAATGCCAGAGCCTCTTCAATCCTTGACTCAGTGAAATCGGGATTTATTGATTTGCTTCCACTTCACCACGCCATTAACCGCTTCTTGGCATACAATGTTCGTTTCGCATGGTGTCAAGCGTGATGTTGGAAACGCCTTACAGCAGGCAATGACAATCGTGGACAGCGGTATCGTTCAATTTTGAAGTCGCCTTCGCTTCGAAAACGAGTCATCAACTTCGTTTTTATTTATGAAAATCCACTTTATGAAAACTTTCAAGATTGGTTAATATGAGGAAGCATCTTACATGAATTAACTCGAAGTCAGGTAAAATTTTCAAGTTTAATGAATATGTGAAAAACTCCTCTCTTTTAATACCGGAAGGACCATTATACATACATATAACTGTATGTTTGTTTGCTGTGTTAACTTGCAAAGTTTATCCTAGCTCCAATACGTTTGTCCCTATAGCTACAAGAAAAATTAAACGACTCTATTCGAATGGGTAAATGTTTGTGGGACTGTAAACTATTGCTAAATGATCTTTGCAGTGGTTGAATTATTAAGGGACTGCAGTTTACGAAGATTCAAAACCTTGTTAATCATTCACGTATTTCGGAAATAAGTATCTTAGTTGAATATCTGCCACACAAGCATTGTTAGGTTATTTGTGAAGCATCATACTGATTTACAACACATACACATCATCTAGGTGAGGTCACGGGAAATTTGTGTCTACACAGTTATACCTGTGGAGCGAATGTAAAACGATCCTTGCATTTTTATTAGAGAGCAATTGTTGATATATTCATTGGACTTTTGGAAATGGTACCTGACTTTGAGTAGACCCGTGGAGGAGGATTCCTCGCACTGGCCAATCGTGGAACTCTTAATGAATGACATTGTCAGAAAAAAAGTAACTTGAGATTTTCAACAACATTAATGACTTTCAATCGAAGCGACGACGTCTTGTAAATTAAGCGAAATCGCTGCCCACGAGTGTCCTCCCATACCATGATGATAAATTCAGGTAATAGAATTTAACTTTGGTGTAATGTATTTCACTGAACTAAATATAAACAATGTTTAGTAAAATGGCATAAGGTAAGGCGGCCTGAACTTTCCTCCCAGTTCTCTTAATTTACCTCACCTGAGCTTCGCATTTGTCGTCGCTTTGCAAATGCATATCTGACTCTTGTATATTACATCAATTTAGTAAATGTGACCTCCCTTTCTTTATGAAGGTTATCATGATAAGATGACACAAAGCAAGTCAGCCATCAAAACCAATTAGTTTGTCACATGGGTTCATGCACCTCACAGGATTCGCTAATTTGTGCGTCTTATGTGATGAGGCTTCAAGGAAAATCCTAGACTTAATCTTCGAGAGCGTGCTACTCTTTCAACAAATGTTAATTCCCGCACAACTGATCTCAGTTGGGTACGGACAGTCTATTCCAAAAATCTATTTTCTGCATCAAAATAAGTGAGCAAAACTAAAACTTTTTGACCTTAGGTTACACTATGCAAGACTACTACATTCACTATAGGTCCAAAGTGAAATGAACTCTTGTACTAGTTTGAATCACAAGTGAATAACGCCACATATTTAAGTCACTAACTACCTAAAAACATGAAAAAGTGTGAATCAACTCTACAGTTTAAAAAAAGCGGTATGGCATTCATAGGCGTTGTCAAATTCATTGTCTTGACTTTTAAAGTGAATTGTCCACAAAACATCCCAGGATTTTAAACAAGCCGTTGTATTATCTGCAACATTCCAGTGCCATTTTAATCCGGTGGTATTATATGATATGATTAGATTAGACCTTAGTAACGTGATGCTGGCAGAGCAGCACTGGGACGATGGGACACACTTTGAGTGTGATGCAAAATAACGCTTAACAAACAAAGGCGTCTCACCGTCTGGCCAATGGGTCGGCTGGAGGCTCAGAAACCATTGCCGAGCGCGTTGCCCGATCTCGTTCCTGGAAGAAGGCCGCATTGGCATGGAATCTGTCATTTAAAACATAATGACGATGAAGGAGCCAAAATCAGGAAACCCGCATGGTGAGTGCACAAATACGATGCCGTTGCAGTCTCTTGCATCCACATGCATATGTGCAAAATTTCAGTATCCCTTTTTGTCTAAACGCGGAGGCGGTGCTTACGAAGGCTAACCATTCATGCACTCATCACAGAAATACCTTGTCAAATTAAACCAAATCAGCAACCACCATATGCCAATTTTATTGTGGGAGAATCCAAAATATGATAACTTTGGGCTATGAACAGAAAACAAGCTAGTTTAGAAACCCCACAACTCATATTTTACATAATAACCCATAATCGGTTAACCGAAAAAGTGTGAAGATTTTGGATTGTAGCTTAATAGTCTTTTCAGCGTATTTTTGGTGGTGATTGAGTGTAAATGGAGACCTGCACATTGCAGCACTTTGAAAAATCGACATTATTTGCTGATTAGCGTTAGCAAACTTAAAAAGGAAGCAGTTCATGTTTTGCCAAGATGCTTTCGTGCATGTATGTTTTCTCAAACCAGATAAGTGGAACTGAATGCTGTTTAAGTTGATATTTTCAGCCTTAGTGTTGATAAAACGCAAAACAGCCGTGACTTTAAATGTTCTGCCCAACCCTCGGGTCCTGCTTACAGGACACACAAAACGGTATGACTTATGTGAGTCCATATGAAGGGTTTATGTACTCAATTGAATAAAGCCAATTTTGCTACATGAAAAAGTTAGGCAAGATAAAGAGGCCGACTGGTAACACGTCTTAAGCATCTTCAGACAACCTTGTAATGTGTAGGAAGAGCAAATTTGTGTGCAAGTAGACTGTGCACGTGGGGTTCCAACAAGACTGATGAGTGAAGCCGTTAGCAACGCACTTATTGCTGGGAATACGAGTGAGTGAAAAAGGCAAAACGAGTAAGTAGTACATGGCCGAGCTTACTATTTCATGGTCTAGAACCAAAAGCATCCTACCAATCTTACGAAACGGTCCAGATGTATGTTCCACAGCTAATGTTTTTCGGACTATGACATTAGATTACACAAATAAATAATTTTAGCCTATGAGAGGTAACTCAGGATCCTTTTTGATTGTCACAATATTAAATATAATCCCTGTGTTATCAGGCTAAAATGAAAATTCTGCTTACCCTTACACATATTATACTTAATTTTTTTTTCAATATTGCAGACTAATGTCAGCATTAACTAAATATGAATTTCTATTTCCTAATTACAAGCAGCGTGAGTTTTAGGCCTTGTGGTACATGCGACCTATTAAAATGCTGTTTTTTACTATTCCTTTGTCTAACTAGTCTGGCATTTTGGCTCTTGTGAAGGCAATGGTCACCCCTTATTTGCATTAAGCCCACATCTCACCTCCGTTAATGCTTCTAAACATTAAATTTTACTGTGTTGTTCGTTGTGCATAGCAGTTAGTGATGTAAGCCTTGACATGAAGTTCGGTTGATAAGTACATCACTGACCAGCGCAGTTGTCAGCTTTAAACAACAAGAACATTAACCTATTGCATACACTTGGCTCCGTGCCTACATCAATGTCCTTTTAGTTCCATAAGTGTACGTAACTCCCACGTCGACCTAACACCAAGGACGAAAGCACCATCAAATGAAATTTGTATTTCTTCGGCTGCGTCGAGCCCTACCCGTCCCCGATTTCAATGACCACATTACACAACTGTCCGGCGCTCCCTCTATTACTTCGTCTTCTAGCCGCTCTTCATCCACAGACTTTCGTTGGTAATTTACCTTACTCCTAGTCTGATTAATGAATCCGTTTCTTGTGAACGTGTTGAACAATTTAGGTTAGACCACCTGTCCTAGGTATTCGGCATGTAGACCAGCAAGTTTTTTAATGCCATAATGAATTTCTTTTTACCTAATAACTGTAATAACGAAAAAGATTATCTTTATTTAAAGAAAGGTTTAAAACGCACCCAAATGGCCGCGTTGCTTCACGTGACTCGTCACTGCTTGGGGAGCCTGGCAATCTAAACAGACAATAACTTTAAAACCTGCAGCATTCTGTAATAAAGCACTTAAAGCGGCACATTTCCACTTGGTGATCCCACGCAGAAATACCGTGCTTGCTGAAACTACCATATTTTGAGCTTTGTGCAAATAAAATATTCAATCCTTATTCGAAGTGGTCCTTCTAGACAATTCAAATGTCATTACAATAGCCGAAATAAATAATGTATGAAAATACACTGACGCTTTTATAAAATATAAGCCCCAAACATTTTTTCCCGGAACATGCTCACTCTTGAACAAAATGCTAATGTATTATCTGTTGGGGGGCGACATGCTGTTGACTTCTTTTAAGGCTATCCTTAAAATCACTAGGAACAAGTTGATGGCCTGACTGGAAATGTTGGCCAAATGTTGCAGAACATGTTGTATGAATAGAAGGAAACTTAAGTATTGAGACTCCCTGTTCTTTTACTGCTGCATCGTAATTAAATATAACGCCAACAGTCAAATAGATCAAGCAAGTATGCAAAAAGTTGCATGTCTATTTCAAGTACACTAAAAATAATTGACATTTATTCCTTTTCCTCGGGTTACGTTAGCAATATCGAAAAGGCCTCGGAAGAAGCAAGCAGGAGTGCAGCCGCTCACTCACATCTTGGCATGGTGTGCCTCATCTTTTCAAAATTACCTTCTCTGAGGTGCCAAAACCGAGTACTCAAGCTCTCATTCATTTGCTAACTTTGGAAGGCGTTGAACAAGCTTCTTACCATGTAAAAAAATGTTATTGGACAAAGACCAGGCAATTTTCCTCAAAACATTCAGGACGACATATTTAGCCAGAACCAAAGGTGAAGAGAAGCCAGTGATAATCCAAAAGGTTTAAGCCAAGTGGTTTTTGCGGGTGCTGAAGGTGGGGGAAAAACGAGCCCCAGGTCACATTGCATCACTTGGTGTGCTGTCGTTCAACTGAATGTAGGATGCAAGATAGCAACATGCTTTAAAACGCCATGCTTTTACTTCTTGTGGCTAGCGTTTGAAGGTTTAAAGTTCTTCAACAGACCATTCAGCCGTGAGAGGTATTTCTTTATTATGTAAATTCCTCAACGCGCCTTTACTTTAAATAGCTTCATAATTTTAATTATTTAAACCAGAATTTACGTAGGTAAAACATTGTGAGTTCATTAAGGTCATTAAAGTTTGCCGCGTAAAAGAATTGAAGCAACTTCAGTAAAAAAGTTAAAAGACACTTTTGTGAAGTGGAATCAAGTGCTTACGACGGAAATTTAGTCGTAACCGGTGCTGCCGTTTCAACTTTCGGCGGTCCTGCCACGGGCACCGTTTTGGTTTGCTCGATGTTGGCGTAGCTGCCATCGGGCTCGCGCTCCGTTCCACGGGAGCTGAACGGCCCGGGTGCCGACTGACTTTGCGCGGAGACACCCAGACCTTTTGGGGACTGGTACGATCCAGGACCAACTGGACCGGCAAGAAGACCGCTAAGAAAAAAAATTCAACAAACTTTTCAGTTGCTACATGTTTTTTAATAAACAATGTTTAACAGGTCCGGGACTCGTTGGATTTCACCTGCAATGATTCCCCGTTAATGAGAGGAAATACTTCAGGAATATATGGCAAATAAACACGCCTAATTGAAGAAAAAACTTTTGTAATTTAGCAATTAATTGAAGTAGAAATTTCGTTACCATTCGTTTTGTGGCGAAATGAAACATTTCTAACACAATTCCACCGGATTTACATCTCCCAAATGGACAATTTGCGCATTAAAGTTAATGGATGATGGTCCTGTAACTGGTTTTCTGTGATTCAATGCTGAATCATGAAAGCGCCAAAGTTTTTCTAGATAAATCTAGGCAAATATACACAATATCGTTATTTAAGTAGTTTATTTGACTCCACCATCTGAGTTGGAACAAAAATGCATAACTCAGCAGACTCGAGATTTAATTAATGATTTGAAATGAACGAGGATGACACAAAAATTATGGCCTTGGACCAACTTGATACGGTTCAATAATGTGACAAAGTTTGAAACGATTAATAGTATGTCATCACCAAATAAAGATTTCATTGTGAATTGTCCAATATTTTATCATCAATAGAAGTGATATTAGCCTGCATCCACCCTCTAACGCAGAATGCAAATTTTTTATTGAGACCGAAATAAACGCAAACATATTGGCGCCACACCAGAGGAAATAACGCGTTAGTTATACGTTCTTCTGCCCAGAACCACAAGCAAAGTCGGAATAACTTATTTCATAGAGTAAAAAATTAATTTACACAATTTTTTGCCACTGTTTAAAAAAAGGAGAAAAATATTATTACCTGGCAAGCCATTTTGTTAATGTCGATGGTAAATATTACAGGTTGCACTCAAATACTTTTAGTACAGTGGTAATAGTAGCTTCATTTTATTACAAGGATTGCGTAAACATATTCGTAAAGCAAAACGGATTAAATAAGCTTCACGGATTACTCGATCACGCACTATATTAATTTATGTTAACTTACAAGGCTGAATGCCTCGGTACTGATAGCTTTGGAGGTGGTGCCGAAGGCACAGAAATGACAGAGACAGCTGGTTCTGCTGAAGCACCAGAAGTTGGAAAGGCAGGAAAGGCTGTCGTTGTTGTCTGTGGTGCCTGCTGTGGTCGTGTTTCCTCCACAGGTGGGTGTGCAACGCTTGTTGAGGTCCCTGGTATTATAGGCCTAGTCACACAATTCACGGTTGCAAAAGGGCTCAGCCAAGTAAAAAAAAACACTAAGCCCACTATATCTTCATTAAAGCTAGAGTTTTTAAAATTAGCTAAGAAATGAACTTTCACGTATTAGTGCAATTCAAGTCAAACTATCAAGGCAGATCAAAATCTTACTTTTATGCTCTATGAACAGTAGAGGCTTCCAGTATGAACAGTCAGCATTAAACAAAAAAGTCTATATAAATTTACACACCACCAAACTCTACCCGAACAGTAGTTTTAAAGCAAATTACGTTTATAGCGACCACTCGTGCGGTCTATGAATCATAAAGTTCTAGATTTTTTTCAAGAAACAACAACACCCATATAGCACTCTGATTGTGTAAAATCTGTATAAATTTTCTCTGACGTACCTTGCAACCTGATCGACGCTGCCTGCCCTTGATAGCTCACCTAATCGGTCGAAAAGCTTTATATCATGACCGAGTTCCAGAGCAGTCTGCAGTTTGGGTAGAAATGAAGTAATAAGAGCACGAGAAGGCAATTCAGTAAAAACTCTATAACATCTAATTTTTCAAGTTGTCTGCGGAGAACAAGCTCCCAAACGTCGCCTACTCAGTAACACAGCGCGAAATATGCGGCCAGTCCACCTACTGCGGCAAGATCCTAACGATTCACCGTGCTTCTTAATCAGTTTTAGCAAAATGAGTAAATATAGTCTACGATAATGCTGTCGGTATGCATATCCTCTTCGAAGTAAAAAAATAGAACATATTTAATACTAATTCTCAGGGGACCCAATACACATTTCTGTCAAGTACAGCATAACAGACGTCCAACCAACCTGCTCTAACAACTGCAACGTCTGTGTTTCAATAGTTGTCTCATCAAATGTTACAGAATCCAATCCATTTTCGCAGCCTTCACACTCATTTAAAAGTTTGCGGTAGTGAGGCATGACGGATGGCAAATCTAGGCCAACACATGTATGTATCACACCCTTCAGCCTTCGCAGCAAACTCTGTAACCTTGGCGAAATCTAAAAAAGTATGCCAAAAGTGCTTCCATACATCTGAAGCACCAGCATTTTCATATGCGGAACGTAACCACCCCGATAATTGACTGTAGACGTATAAGTAAAAATCATGTTCAATTGTCTTCCATACAATACTCTTTGCAAAACTGTAGGCAGTTCTTAGGTTGTCTGCTTTAAGTTCCTACGAACTTCTGGTAAAGTCAATATTTTACCCATTGGAGAAGAGTCTTGTGAAAGGTTATCACTTTTTCCGCCTCATCGGAAAAGGCAATTAGTTGATTTAGACATGTCTGCAGGCTAAACATAAGTTCTAGAAACCATTAACATTTAGTATGAAACAAATACCATCCATTTCATCTCGACGAGCCATCGCCTAAAAGCACCTGCCCATTAACCTGTTTGAGCATGTACTGCTTACTGTCAAGGTTATTAAGCATTTAAACAGTTTAATGAATTATTTAATAAGTTTAGGTTTTGTTAACAAATTTAGACAAAAAATTCAAAAGTCTCTTTCCTCAGCATTACGCGTTCAAAATGACTTGTTTTTATTACCTTAACGATTTTGTCAAGACTATTATAATGTTAAATATTTGTTCCAAATTACGTTTCCAATTCAGCAAATTTCTACTCAGGCGTATACAAAAAGCTTAGATCACAGATACCGCGTTTCTATAAAAAGAGAGCTTCAGGCATTGAAATAATCAAATTACGTGAAGTAAATTAAAGGCAACAGTATTGCAGACAATGTATTCCCGAAAATAAAATTATATTAAATTTGCAATCACGTTTGTTTAAGCATGTTACTGCACATCGCTTTGTGCATTTTCTTCACGATATTTTTTAATTCTCGCTAAAAATATATCGATAAATGTTGGTAAATGAAAATATATTTATTTGACTTAGAGGACAATCGAAATGCATTTAAGTGTTGGTCAACAATTTCAGTGTCTTGGAATCTAAGAAGATTATTATTTAAAGTTTACAATAAACAATGGTTTTGTGAGAGCCAAAAATATAAAGTGCATACTAATTTTACATCCCACTTATTGTTCCTAATATTCGTTTCACGACTGCGCCAAAATGAATGTCCTCTTTAATTAAACCTCTGAGTCGTCATTCGTAGAGTTTACTGAAATCTCTTCCATAATTTGTGTTTTTAACTTTAGAATAAGGGCATTGGTTGTAGTTTTACCACTTTTGGTTATTGCTGTAAAATTAAATAGCCATTTAAAATATCTGTATAAATTAACTTTGGCAATTAACAGCAAGTCATTGATTAACTGTGTTTTTTTTCCTTGTGGAATTAACATGCCAGGGTCACAGGAAACCAGATTAGCAAACCAGCATTTTTACAGTCATCTCGTTCGTTTAATAAGCTGCTATCTAATTGGCAGGTTAATAATCTTGTGGCGAGCACAGCTAGCAGTTGTGAGCGAACGCAATATGCAAGCACAAGCGAACACAGTTCATTCGATTATTCGTGAATAAACTCCGCGCAACTACCTGCGATCAGAGATCATGGCTTAGCAAAGCTATATACACGCATCTGCTATCCTCTACACATTACACTCCGCTACCGCTTTAATAAATTGGTTGAGCTACTCGTCATCTGCAGTACTGCTCTACTTTCGGTCGGGCCGTGTCAACGTAACAAATCCAAAACTACGTTAATATGGGATTTTCTGCACGTAAAATTCCCAAAAGGCGTGGTCTGTTTAGAAAAAAGTTTATAAAATTAAAGTCATTAATTTTTTTTACTGTAAGGCCTTGATAAGTTTGAGCTGGGATAAATTTAGAATTAAATAGCTTCATCTGTATATCCGAGGTACAGTTACTTGAATCTCAGCTAAAATGCATCCAAAGCCCAAAGGGAACACTATATCATTTTTGCTTTGCTACTAATTATAGTTGTTTTAATTGCGTGAGATTAAGTACATTTAATTTGGTCACAAGAATAATCAAACTAAATGTTATATTTCATTTGATTAGGGAAGTAACTCCTTCACTTTCTTGCTGCATAAATAAATGATGCCTGTAATGGCGAGTGCGTCTGGTGAATTTGACCGGAATTAAAGATAAGAGCACAAGGAAAGAGATCTGTCTCCCTTAAATACAGCAGTGCTTAGTAGCGTGTCCTACTGAATTATTATCCAATAGATTCAAATTTTACCGGTCTGATTGTCAAAAAATTGTAAACTGTAGCCTCATATTAAGATTTTTTATCGGAATTTAGTCCCCAACAGTTTAATTTTTATCAGATGGACCTAATTTTTAAACTTTATTTATTTGCACGTGAACTGCTGATTACGTTGCAGAATTGGTATCAACCCTTACCCCGGTTGATGTCTTTTTTAGCTGAACTTAAGTGTACCTAAACAAGCTAAAGTCTATATTTTTCTGAATTTTGCATCATGATCCTTTCTTGATGTTGGAATGCACACCTCTTTGTCAATTATCCCTAGCCATTTGGTCCACATGAATAGTAATTCATAATTTCAGGTATTCCCTAGTGAATGTTTTTGAGACATTTACAAACCTGCCTGAGATTTATTTCACGAATTATAATTTAGAGTCATTTTCTGAGTTCCACATTTGTCGATTCACTCCGAATTTTCTACAATTAATCTTCTACATTATCGGTTTCGAAGACGCTAACCACCTTCAGATAAGGTTTAGTAAGCTCTAGAATTACAGGAAGCGTGAAAATTGATTATGATTAAGTTATTTTCTATTGATATTGTTAAAAATAAATGTTTTTTTTTTGGACAAAGTCTGCGTCTAAGTTTGGTTACTATTTTATTTTGCAATATGTGGCATTACAATCAGTGAATGTGCTAACTTGATATGCATGTGATCCTACATCGAATAATTTCACGTGACAGCTTCTGCAGGCGTCAGAATCCGATGTCTTCGTCCGTTGTTCGCGAGATCGCCCCATCAGTTTTGCGTAATAATGGCTGCCGCCATTGGAAGGCTCGCAGCTATGGGTACTAAAACGGGAGGAAAATTGGCCGTAAAAACCGTTGGCAAGAAGGGTGGAAAGAAGTTTGCTAAAGATCTAGGCAAGTCAGGGAAAGGGAAGGGCTTGAAAAATGTGCTGGGAGGAAAAAAAGGAGGCAGCCCGAAACAGATCATGGGTGGTAATAAAAGCGGATTCAAAAAACTTGAAGGGGTTTCGAAGACCAAAGGATCAGAAATGAAAGGAATAACAGGCAAGAAAGCAGGTATGAAGAGTAAACTTGAAGGGAAATCGGCGAAAATGAAATCGTCCTCTTTACAAATGAAATCATCAAGATCAAAGATGAAATCAAACAAAAGTGATGGGCGGAAATCACCTGGTAGTAGCAAGTCAAAAGGAAAATCTAAAGGTGCTGATAAAGTGAAAAATAAAAAAGCCAACCGGAAAGAAAAGTCCATGAAATCTGCGATGGATTTGACGAATGAGGATGAAACTGAAGTAACTGAAGATGTTAGAGAAACAGAGGAAGAAGATGATGAAATAACAGGGACTGACTATGACACGGAGAGATCGGAAATTGAGAGCACCAGTTTTGAAAGTAGAAAAGAAAAGAAACTTAAAATGGGGAAGAAAAAAGTTAAGGCAAAGAACATGGGGCTATCTGACGAGGACTCAGTTAAAACCTATGAAACTAAAAAGAAAGCAAAAGGCAGGCAAAAGAATAAAAGGAACAAAAAGGGTGATACTTTTGAAGAAGAATCCGAAGAGACTAAAAGTGTGAAGAAAAAAGATGCTAAAAACAAAAGGCGTGAAAAAGAAAGTGATAATAAAAGAAAACTTTCGTTTATATTCAAAAAGAATTCAAAAGATGACCTCTCGGACACTGATATGGAGTCGGTGAAAAGAAGCAGCACTAATCGTAGGTCAACATTTGAAAAGAAAAGGCCAAAAGTTGAGTCTGTTGGTTCTGACTCAGAAGATGGACATCCAAATGAGATAAATACCAAGAGGAAAGGTTCTTTTCAAAGATCATGGGTAAAAAAACGTGGATCGCATAAATATTCAGTTGACAGCGAAGTCGATGATAGATCAACAAAGATTAAGAGAAGGGACGACATGACAGATGATGGTGATACTGAAACTGCCACACATGTGGAATTGTCAGATGACTTAAAGCATCGAAAAAGTAGTAGGGTTAAGAATTCAAAAATACTGGAATTAGACTCTGAATTTGAAAGTTCGTTTCTTCGTGATCGAAAACAACGCAATTCAAAAAAGATCAATGTCAGTAGGCATTCTCGCACAGCTCTCAATCACTCACCGTCAGAGGATGAATCAGCCACGAATGTTTCAGATATGCATTCTAGAAAAAAAAGCCACAATGAAATAGGTCGAAGAAATGAAATTGAAGACGATTCTAATGCAGGTGGCTGCATGTACGTCAACGAACTTTGCAAAGCAATCCAACGATTCACAACCAACAATGAAGGTGTTGATGTGGAGCGGCTAATCAATACGTTAGTGGATGTTGCAAGGGGGCCAGGCGATGCTGCAAGCAGGAAAAAGTCGTTGGCGAAGCAGGATGATGTCTCTGACCACAAGAGAAACCCGGCTGGGGATGCTAATCACAATCGAGAATCTCAGAGGAAAAGCAAACGAGAATCCCGTAGATCTACCAAACGCGAATTTCCGGAGAAAAAACGCTCTAGTTTAAATCAGACAATGCCAGGAGGAGAAAAAGGAGAAAGTACAAATCAAAACATAACTTCGGAAAATAATGCAAAAGAGTCCGATTCAAAGCACTGTGGGACTCAACCAAACGCAGACTCCTCTCCACCTCAGGCAAAGTCAGGTAATAATTGTGATGATCTTATTGACCGAGACTTTAACATGATGCTGTTTAGAGTAGCAAAGGAACTTATTATGGATGAGTACACGAAAGCGAGAAAGCCCGAAGCAGAAGAGAATGATGAGTGGTTGAGAGCTTTCGAAATGGTGATCAAATTCGACAATGCAAAGGATATCAGGGCCTCACAATTGAAGCACGAGGAAATGAAGCTAGAGTCGAAGTATTTAAAGAAGGGACAGGCGAAGCATTTTAAACGAAGCGGGTTAGGAGGTGAATCTGGCGGAAGTCGTAAACCACATGAAAATGGGGAAGTTGCAGACGACTGTACTGGTGGGTTTAGAGAGGAGGGAACTTATCAACGTCGAAGCAAACTTGATCACCTGTACGATTTAATCTATGCACTAAGAGGTGCCCCAAGAAAGGCCTCAGCAAAACAGATGAACCAGGCACTACCGTCAAACGTGGATCAATCACAATCTGCCCAATTGGTTCCAGTTTATATGCCTTGGGAGCTGCCCCAAATTACTGATCCCTACTCTGCCTACTACACAGACGCCTACTGCTATGACACTAACGGTTACTACCCTCAGTGCTGACCCGCTATTCTTTTTGTCAAGCCATTTCTATAAGGAGATAATTTACATGCCTATAAATGGGCAGTTAGCGAAGCGTAGAAACTAAGCAATGCTTAACGACTTCTAATTTCGGAAAGACCGTAGGTTTATAGTAATTTAGGCAATTTACGCTCTTCTAAAACGGACTTTCAAATAAATTAGTCTAATGGATCAACTCAAAAAGTCGTATCTTCCACATTTCTTTGGCTATAACTTTGTTAATCTACAAAGGTATTAAGTAATTTGCGCCTCGAATTAAAACTGATTTGAAAAGTAGCTGTGCCATCTTAGAACTGATAAAATATTCATTATGCATTTTTGATCTTGTTAAAATGAAGTGCACAGCATTTTCGACGTGACTATTAATTAAATAAGGTTGTCTTTGGTAAAATCATAAAGTCGGTTCTAGGAAAACCATCAGTGATGCAATTGCTTAAATACCGGTTTTACATAAATTTATCACCCGGATTTGTCAGATAAGTTGGCATTCCGATTTTCATCTTCACATCCGCCGCCCACATCCCATTTGCTCACCCTTTTTAAATGCGTCATACAACCTAATTGTTGTCGGGGTCACGATAGGTTGACATGAGTGGTCTCATTTGGACGTGTTACTCTGTCTTTGACTGAGAAAGTATGAAATCTCATTACATAGTTATGCTTTGCACATTTACTGGAAAGTTGGGACTTGTAATATTCGAGATTTTACTTCACTTTTTGCCTCGGCTTGTATTTTTGGTTAGTAACGAAGGCGGCAAATTTCCAGTTGTTTTAACGTATGTTTTCTATCAGCTATAAACCTAGGCAAGTGCATCAGCGGAAGAATTTAATGTGCATATGTGAAGCTAAAAAAATCCGCAAAAACACTTAAAATAGATAAATTAAAACGCGAAATTGATCCGGATCACTAGCTGTTAACTGCAGTTTAGACGTTACTAAAAAGCGCATATTTTACTGGCACGGGTTCTCGCCTCGTCAGAATTCACTAAATCATTTGATGGACATCGCTTTGAATGCATCTTGAAATTGTTTTTATGATTCCTCTAAATGCTGCAACATCTTGCTCTGAAGTGGCTGTGGGAGTTTCGGTTAGAAACAAAACTCGGTCAGTGTCAACTGACTGTTGGATTTTACCGTAATAAATGTTAAATTGAGTCAGAAATATTAATCAACATTAGCCTAAGTTTAGATATTTTCATTTTCCGATATTTAACAAAAAATCGGTTTCTGATGGGTAGTTTTAAGCTCTATCAGAGTCTATCTGTGAATGTGTGAAAAAAACTAGTCCAAAATTACTTTGAAATTAACGCAAATGGACAAATAAAAGTGACGTTGCAAATTACGTTCTGTTAGAGTAGCTTTTAAGAGACTGAGGGTGGCGGGATGACTCGAGACCGTATAAGCGACTGAAATGCACTTAATGCTTTATCAGCAGAGGCAACAAAAGTTTCATTAAAAAGAGCCGAAGGCCTTTAAAAATTTGCTTTAACCAAAGATTTAATCAGATATGTAAAAACATTGGTTCAGATGGAATTGTGTCGTGAACGGAAAATTGTAGCCTGCTTTTGGTTAGAGGAATTTTATACCGATTCCAATAATCATGTGCCAAACAGTAATGCTGAATGTCGAGTTAAACAAATGCCTAAATCTTGAAAAATGCAACTACAGGTGGCTGTGATGTTATAATATATTGTGATTTCCGAGAGGTGGAGTTAAACGTTTACAAAGATGGTAGGTGTTGCGAATAATAACGACGCACCTTTAGTCATTTAAACCGTCTATCAACCCATCTTTGAAAGGCACCTAAAGTTCAGTAAACGTAAAGTGTGTTTATATTTTCCAGCTTTTAACGGTGTACAGTTTGTCAATATTTACGTTTTACATGGCTAACGCGGCTTAGAATTTCTTGGTATGTAGAGTAAAACCGCTATCAACCCCACCATTGGGCTGCATGCAACATTTACCTTTACTTTTCACAATAACCGACTTGCAATGGCAATTAGTAGTGCGGCTTTCCTTGTACAGTCCGAACTCGTAACCGATGCCAGTTTATTACTATCAGTGGTTCTCATTCACTTTAAAGCTCTCCTGCTTCTATCACCTTATTCTGGCCAGCGTAACCTTCATCCCTTCTAGCAATTCCAAATTTATTTTAACTTAGTTCGCAAGAATTTTTTTATACAAGACTTTAATTAAACGTACATATTAGGTCCGCCTTCAATAACAGAGACCAGGCCATTTGTACCAGGTGAACTCTAAGAAGCTTCAATCGAACACAAATATTTGTAACACATCATCACACTTTTGAATACTCGAGCTCTAGTATGAAGAAGACCGGTACAACGGAACAGACTTTATTGACCAATCAGAAGCCAGAGCCACGCGTCAGGCGCCTTCCATCCGAGTACCCCACGCTGGCCACGCCGCTCATCATATACTGCACATCATTCGTGTCCTTTTCTGGTTGGCTGCCTATCTTCCTCTCCCGCCATTGGAACCCAGAGAGACAGAGGATTGGCTGAGGCCAGGTGGTCCAATTTGTCTGCGCCCTCAGACGTCGACACACCACAACGCTTCCTCACAGTTTACTTCGAACCCATGAGGTGTGTCAACGTATTAGGGCACAGACAAATTGAACCACGTTGACCTCAGCGCAAAATGTAGCACATTTAAAATCAATCAGCATCGGTGATTTAGTATAACCGAAACGACAAAGTTACCTCCAAACATTTGTGATTAAAGTTCGAATCTTATAATATGGCCCTGCAAAATTTGAACTAAATACTGATATAAGGCAAGAAAAAAGCACAGAAACCGGTAACTCAATTACTACTTGAAGTTATTTTTCAAGAACGCTTGAGCGCCTATTTATGTATCTCACAACGTGTATTCTGAGTAAAGTAATTGAAATTTTCTATGAAAACAACTGCTTTCTAAATTTTTGTTGGTCTGCCACTCCGGGAAGAGCTCAATGATCGTGTGAATCTAATACATGTATTCAATGTAGGGTTTAATCGCTGCAGAGGGGTTTTATCACCATTTAAATAAGAATGTTGAGATAGAAGTTAAAAAGCGAAACTCAAATATGATACCGCTTGTGGAAATTTTTTAACTCAAACCTTACATTCCATGTCAGATTCGCCAAATAATAGAAATTAAGACGTTCATTGCAGGTCCAAAGTTCGATCAAGCCTATTTGATTAAGTTTAAAACAATCCTAGAATGCAGAATTGAAGACAGTGCGAGCCGATTAACATAATTCTTAGAGATTTGTGGGGAAAATCCCTAGAAACAGTGAAACATTTTATGGTTTCAAAGCTAAAAAAAAAATTTAAATAGATTCAACAAAAATTTAGCGAATACCTGGATGATTCGCCACTAAATACTGACGACACATCATGCTTAGCACAATGAGCCAATAGTTTCAATTTTGTGAATCTATCCAAACCCAGTAATATTGTATTTCTGAAGTGAATTCGTATAGAAATCTTGAGGCGATTGTATGGAGAATGCCGATTCCACTGCAATTTAAATGGACTAAGGTAGCTGACACAATATAAGGGTAAAGAGGGAATTCGCTTTGATAAGTTATTAAGATTCGTGGAAGAACGTGTTGACGTCGCCAGTTTAGGATTTTGGGAACAACTGCACTATTTATTCAGGGGACCTTATCACACGCTTCTACATACCTTCGTGGGCAATTTCACTTCCGATTCAAAAATAATGAATAATCACGTAGATTAATAAATATGATGCTCACGGGTTACTATGCTAAAGAATGATCCGAATCTGTCTCGCTATCAGAATCTGATTCAACATCTGTACCCGCAGATGTCGATTTTGGGTCTGACAATGTAAAGTCGACTACCAAAGCAGCGTCTAGGATAATTATACAAACATTTTGTCGTTTCTTGTACTACTTTCAACGCAAGTATAGTTAATCCAAAGGAAAACGTGGTGGGGTTCTGACGACAAGATCATATAGTGGAAAGTATTGAAACGACACCGTCAATCACCCCGCCACAATGCATCTAGCAAAAAAGAACATCACATACCATTAACAGCAGGAGACGATCAAGTGTATTGCGGTTCAATACAAGACAATTCTCTGCATACAAGATTGAAGAAGACTGTTATTAAGTCTTATAGTTGCTCAAGAGTGTTACCGTCTTCCTCCAAAGAAGATTTTAATGAACATGGCAAGGTCCCTCAACTTCGGTGAATTCTAACGCCAGCAACTCCGTGTAATAAAATGCATGTTAAACTGCATCTCAAGCATTTTGTTCAACGCTCGCAGCCGCTAGACGAAGTGTTGAAGGTCACTAAGAAAGAAAGGAAACTTAAAAGACCTTTAAAATAAACTCAGAAAATCGATATTATTTGTACTACATCTCTGTCCTTCACTCTCACACGTCAAATAGAAGTATTAATATTCAAATGGTTCTTTAATACAAAATCAACAAGTGAAAGCGCTGAAGGAAACGTTGCAAAAAAAGTCTTTAAGTTGACAAAATTACCCTGTTCCTGCCTGATTCCTTTAATACTGTTCTTTCTTTCATTTTACTTTGTACTGGTACCCATGTTTGTCGAGGGAGTGTAAAGTGTGCCGTAAAACCATTTGTTTCGCTAAATAGGTTTTATTGGATCACTATTTGTTGCATGCATTTACTGTTTACTCTAGTTTTGCACAAATAAATATTATTTTAGATACCTGAAATAAGAATTGAACATACCGAATTAATCTTGCTTTTCTTCGATTCGTGCGTGTACATACTAAGATTGTGTTACAGTAACAACTAATTCCTTTAATCCAATCTTAAACCAAACATCTATCCTACAAGAGTTGCCCAAATAGTCATTAAAATCTAATTTACTAATGCATGCCGTTTTTAGGGAAATGCATTTTAGTAGAGAAACCGGGAACACAATATTTTTAAACTTCAACAAAATTCTGATCAAATTGATTTAACTTAGTGTTCCTTTAGATTCCTTCCCCATGTTTTGCTGTGTTATAATTTCAACAATATCTGATTATGAACTAAAAATGTGCTTGGATACATGCATTGAGATTTCATTACTAGGAAAATTGATAAAATTTTTGAAAAAATCTTACGTTCGCCTTGACAACAGTGACACTAACTCTCTAAAAACAAGGTAATAAAAACCATTTTATCTCACTCTTCACGCAATATGATGTTTTACAGGAAAATTGGACATGTGATTCAACCAAAATGGGAAATACAAGCTGTTTTAAGGTTAAATCTACCTTCATGTTTGCTGTTATACATGGTGAAATCATTGGTTGAAACAGCAAATGTCTTTGATTTGTACTGGATGAAAGACATCGTGCACTTATTTTAAAATAATAGCTGCACCCTGGCACTAAGGATGTTTATTTTTAACGTTTAGTAGAGCAAAACTGTTAATGAGCCCAATAATTGTACAAACTTCTTTAACTGCACTATACTTGTAAAATCTAACCTTGAAACTGGCAACATGAATATGTTAGCACACGTTGCACAGAAGCATTTTGTGTTGCCGCCTTCATTCTAAAGCTTCGTAGTTGAAATAGCTTGTCACATGGTGTGCAAAAAGCAAAATTTTTAAATTCAAGACTTTTTACACTAGGCAAATATTCAGTTATTTTGATTATCATTATTACACGTGAAAAAATATTTAACTCTGCACTTAAATGTAATTCACTTTGAAATACATTTGCGCTACGGTAATGTGCAAAATACCCAAGTACCAGTGTAAGTAAGGTATAACAAGGCATCTTCCATCAACCAAACAATAGCCAAAACACGTGTACTTGCTTGACTCTAACCAAATAGTGTTTCACATCAGCCTTCTCTGGTCAGCTGTTGATTTTGCTTGGTGGCCACTCAAACGCTCACATTGGCTGAGGTAGGTGTAATCCAATGTCTGCGCCGTATCTGGGGCACTTTAGGTGCATTAACCCCAGTGATAATTGCTTCAGAATGATTGTGAGATTTTATCACTAAATACATTTTCTCATTTATAGTTTTGCGTAAATATTATTAATTTTAATATTAGCATAAGTTATTTAAGTTACGTATGCTTGTTTGATATTAAAGATTAAGTCATCTGTCCCTTGTGTTTAATAATGTATTCTTTGTTGACACCAAGGGAATTTTGTATTTTCGTTGTTTGTGTTATATAATAATTTTTATGGTACAGTTGGACTACCTCCGTATACATTCTTTGGTATTCCCTTATGCCTTCAACGGTTTAGTCGTAACTTTAAAATGATTCCAGATTTCGATCTCAACATCGCCGCTAATTCCTCGGTTGCACTTACGTTCCTAAACGTGGCTTCAGTTAAAGGTTTCTCTTAGAGAATAAATTTGGGAATGTCACAAACCACATGCCTTTGTTCATTAGCTTGTAGTTTACACTTGTGTATTATATCTGCTTATGCCTTAATTCCCGTCGGGGCGATCCTTTTTTATTGACTTTTGATTCGCTTTATTTGTGAGTATAGCAAAATCTCCATGCTAAGGGATGCTATTTTTTGTTAGTTTATATTGTTGGTACCTTATTACTTATTCGCCTTCCACCTTCTAACTCACATTTATGGTGAATCCAGTCTGCGTTCCTCACTATCTGCAAAAAAACTGTTTTTGCCGGCAATTTTTGGTAATCGCCAAATCTGCTAATTAATCTGGCTTTCCTCTCTATATGCTTCCTAGAATATCCATTTATTTGAAATAAAACCAGACAAATCAGTATGTTGTGCTCTTGGTTAAACTCATGTAATTGGACCTTAAAAATGACTACAAATGATTAACTTAACTTCCGGGTTTTATTGCTTTTGCGTATCCAATAATCCCAATCTGAAAGTGCAAACCACTCGAGGTATAAATTTTAAGTTCGAAAAAAATAAATTGTTTGAAACAATGGGACAAAAATAATCAAGATTTCGATTCCTCTTGTAGTCATATATTATAGGTGTGCTATATATTGACTTGGTGTGTTATTCATGCTGACGATGGTGGGACCCACAGCACTATCCATACAGCGTTTATGTGCATTAGTTGATTTGCATTATTTTCTTAAAATAATGTCCAAAATAAAAGGTCGCGTCGCAAGAACTCTTGTCTCCATCAGCTCGAATAAGCGTCTTAAGAATATTGTTGCCATTCTTGTGGTAATGCAATCATGACTCGAATGCATCTTTGGACCTGTGTAGTAAGTACAAAGTGTAGAATGTTTTGTCGTCAGGACTTTTTTTGGACAAACTTAAAATCTGGTGCGAATTGTAGGCTGTTTACTTTCAGTTACCGTAAATTCACTGATTTCTTAGCCAGTTTAGGCTCCCCATTTACGACAGTGACAATCGCAAATCTTTTTACCAACAAATATTGCCTCGTGTAATTGTCATTGCTTTTAATTTTTTGTCTTTAGGAAATGGTGGGTAGCAAGAAGACGTTCGCAGTGATACGCGCCGTCTACGAGCACCATTGTTCGCCAGAAGACTTTGTCCGCGAATTGGATTTTGTCCTTGAGAAGAATGTTAATGTGGTGATTATTGAACCTGACGAGTTGGGTGAGGTCACTTGGCGTTGGATACACACCGGCAACTGGCTCCATAAGACAGCAGTCCTCGCTGGCAAGTTCTAAATTTTTCAAACTGTCGTCTTTATGTGCTCAGTGGAACCCGGAGTCCCAATTTGTTTGGAGAAGTCAAATAAATGGTTTGGTGTTTTTGCCCTGACTCAAGGTGCCGCCGTTATTAGTCACGAAAAGAATCTAATTAGCTCCATATGGTTAAGTTTAATTTTCTCGATACCACTCATCTGCACGTAGTCACCATCCCCATTCTTCTTGGTTTCGTAACCATCTAATTTTGAAGTACGCGCTGATGAGTCCGACGACTGATCTTTATCTGTTTGCACGTGTATCAGCCGAAAGTTGTAGGCTGGGTCGGGGTTTTTGACTGTAAAATGGATGAAATATTACGATTCGTTGATGAAGTACACTTAAATTTTAGTAGTTTTGATCAGGCACCTTGCGTTTTCGTGGGAGTTTGATATCGGAACATCCGACAACTTACAAGCTCCCGTTAGCGTTTTGTCTTTCTCATACAGGTGACTTTTCGCATTTTTGACCACTTTTGACCAAAGAGTTTAGTTGCCTACGCTTTTTTCATATTATGGGTATTGAACTCACCATTTATGGCATTTTTAAGAAAACGTCATAGCCCCTTTTTTAATGACAAAGGATTTTTTAAAATATCTTTACTGCCACTTTTCAAGGCACAGGCAAGGAACCTCACGCGGAAATTCACACTCGTTATCTTCCCATAATTTACAATGGTATAAATTTAAGGCATCCGCAGGACAAATTTATTGCTTGCGGCTACCGATGATGTGTGTTCCCCATACCATACTTTTAATGTCATATTTCTACTTTCAAGCAAATATTTATGTAATTTTTGTAGGTTTTGTTCTCCTCATTTTAGGTTTCGCCGCTATAGCTGGTACATTTTTGGCGGTTCTGTGTGAAGGCCATGGAGGCAGAGTTGCCACTTCCCTCACCACGGTTCCACGTGGTATTTCGACTAGCCTCCTTCCTAGCGTGTTTTTTGGTCTCGCATCCGCAACTTCTTCTAGCCTTTACGCTCTTTTTTGGCAATGGGATCCTTGCGCTAAATACCAGGTCGCAAAGTCCCTCTCCTCTCTTCCTTCATGCGTCGTCGCAGCAGCCTCTGTCTCGACTAGCGGTTCATCCTCGTCGAATGAGGCCTCTCAACAGACTCCTGCTCGCCTTTCCACGCATCACTGTCACTCTTCCAAGTCCTCATGCTGCGGGGCTGCAGGTTGCGGTCATTGTGCCGAACTTGGACAGCGTCCTGTGGTCTTAATTCGTCGAGATGATTTCTATCGCAAGGTCATGCATAACACAGTTTCAATAGGTGCCATCATCTGTGTTTGGCTCGCTGTCTACCGATGGCGATGAGCCCACTTTTCGCTTCTTCCTCAATGTATAGAACGTTCCTCAAACTGGTGTTGACGTTCTACCTGAGTGCTGTCAATTCCCCGTTTTTGAGATGAGTTTCTCTTCCCGCATCTAAATCACTTGTGTTTAATACTCGTAGCCCTGAATCTTGCCTAGTTTATACCTCTGTATAACTATCAGTTAAATGTTAGTATTTATCCTGTGATGTTTTAATGCAGCTAGCTGGTTGACTGCCCAAAGAGGTGATTTGCAGCTAACCAATTGTAAAGCTAAATACCATAGGTAAACTAAGGAAAAGGTAGGTACACTTCAACTCGTATTTTGGCTTGGAAAACTCAGCGCCATGTTTGGACAAATCGCCGCCGTTTTCCGATCAATTAGCCGACTGGGAACAATTTTGGACCAGCCGTGGAGTGAGGTCCCAATCTGTCTCTGTAGGCAAGTGGAACGGTGCGTTTTGCGGGACTCAAGCTTTGGAGCTTGGTTGCCTGGACCTCTTTGGTAACATTTGCCGTGACCTTTTAGCCATCACCTTGTGGAAACTACGAATCCCACGTACCGTCATTTGTCTTAACAATGAGGACCATGCTAAACAGGGGCATCCAAATATTGGTGGTTCACAGTGCAACAAATAAATGATAAGGTGGGCCCAGAAGACCGAGCCCACTGAAAACACATCGCCCACGAGTGTAACACAATGTTTGTCAGAAAGCAATCAAGCATGAGGCTTTGAACGTCATATGTACACAGGGGCCTGAGTCAGCACGTCACAACCGTTCCCATTCAAATCAAGTAGGTTGATCTAAGTTGTTGCAAAATGTGCGCCACTGCCCCGGCTATTCTGTTTTGAAAAATCTGGTGTCTCCACTGACCGCAACTTCATTTGCTTTTACTCACCCATCTGCTATAGCTACGATATTCACAATGTGTCATTTAACGTTGTGCTTCCCACAGGGAATCTTGTGCTGCCGCACAATACACACCTCTCATTCACAGCAGCTAAATTCGATGTCAATCGACGTTTCACCTCACCGCAGAAACGTAGGCTGAGGCACGCAAGTCCCAACTTAACTTTTGTCCTCGAAATGAATCATGTGATGCTAGTAACCATCGCCATCTTTAATTACTTAATGTGCCATACATTTAAGCTTTGGTAGAAATAATGGAGGTTAAATAATTAGTTTTCTTGGTATGTCTATCAACGTTAAAGATCCACCACGAAAAAGGTTATGTATAGGGATTTAGCAATTCTTGATGTCTAGAAAACATGGCGGTAACGATTTCTTTGAAATTCTCGCGGTCTCTTGATGGGGGCAATAAAATTGGCAGACGTGTACCGCTAGTGACAATTTTTGTTTCGTCATCTAAATCACCGGTCAAAAGGCTTGCTGAGAGGAACTCAACTTCCATTGGATGAAGTCTTCCAGGAATTATCATACAATGCATTGGGCCGCCGAGCGAGGCAGAGATGGGGTCAGAATCACCAGCTGCCATGGCAGCTTCCAAAGTCCCGATAGTAGTGACCACTATGGCCTGAGATGGAGTTGCCACTCGGGCTAAGCATATAACAATACAGTCTTCATGAAGATAGCCATCCGGCTCCCGTTCGTAGGGCACCTCACAATCTGGGTCGGATGCATCCAAGAATCTTTGTCGTATACGACGACCTGCTTCGAGGATCTGGTAGGCAGCTTCCTGACAAAGCATAAAACGTGGAGGTTCGTAAACATCACGGTCGCGAAGCAAGTTCTCAACGGATTTCTCCTTGACCTATACAGCAGAGCCGATAAAATAATTATTGCTTATAACAGAATCCAGCGTCAATAGCTTCCAACATTAATGGGAACTCAATGATGTAGTTCCCGAATTATAGGCCCTGAAAGTACGTGGCAAACCACGAACTAGGGTAATAACCTAAAACCAAGTGCAGACACTAAACAGGTACTCCAATAGACAGGCTTGACGATAATCTTCAAAAAATCGGTAAGGAAATCAGACACGGAAAAATTCATATCCACTACGAAATGCTGGGTAAAAAGCATTAATGACAATATCAAACATTTCAAGCGCTAGTAGGTAATCTACAACTTTTTTGCACCGCTTCCTCAATGCCTAACGATTCGGGTTCCTTTAAAAGTGAAAACGGTTAGATGAAAAGGTCAGCATATATTTAATATCTAGTACGCTCTCTTAGATAGTTTCAAGTATACGATATAATGAAAATAATTGGGGGCCACGTACCCTGATATCTAACAGGCATAAAGTATGGAGACCTCGGCAATAATTTGACATTATTTTCGAGTAAAAGCTATCTGGACAGCCACATTCTCCCCACAAAGGAATTGAAACGGTTTCCCCTAAATGGTACAAATGTATCCCGCAGCATGCCACAGCAGTCATTATCGATGAATTATGAATAACTTTGTATGGAATCTTTTCCTTAATAGCGCGAAGGATGATGTCTACAAATATTAAGTCGTTAAAAACTAAACAACCAGTATGTGTTGTGGCACAAAGAGGATCTCCAACCACCAAAAAAGCTACGTCTTCTTTTTTTGCCAAGGAAACAATTACCGAGTCACCTTCAGTAAATTCGCGGTCAGCGGTCCTAACACTTTTTCCGAGAAACAGCGATATTTTTTCAATCCCGTGACTAAGAATGGAGGTGTATGCATCGACGAATATGTGATCACAAGCTTTTGCAGCCGTAAGACCGGATACAGATATGTCCTCGACTGATGATAGGCCAAGACCTATAACGTAGAGCATGCCTACAAGATTGGGTCGTCGAGTAGTTTTGTGGTGTGGTGTGGCGTCGGATTAGGGCGCAGACATGTTGGACCACCTGGCCGCAGCCAATCCCGTGTCTCTCTGCAATCCAATGGCATGCGGGAAAGGAAGGCAGCCAACCAGAGAAGGACATGGTTGAGATGCAGTATATAATGAGCGGCGTGGCCAGCGCGGTGGACTCGGATGGAAGGCGTCTGACGCGTGGCTCTGGCTTCTGATTAGTCAATAAAGCCTGTTCTGTTGTACCGGTCTTTTACCGATTAGGGCTCGGGTATTCAACAGTGTGGTGTGACGACGGATCCGGGCGTAGGCATATTAGACCACCTAGTCTCATCCAATCCTGTTTATCTCTACGTTCCAATGGCATGCGAGGAAGATAAGCAGCCAATCAGAGAAGGACAGGAATGAGGTGAAGTATATAATGAGCGGCGTGGCCAGTTTCGTGGACCGGATGGAAGGCGCCTGACCTGTGGTTCTGGCTTGTTGTTGGTCAATATAGCCTGTTCTGTTGTACCAGTCTTATTCATACAAGGGCTCGGGTATTCTACGTTGGTGGCAGCGGATGCGTTCGAATAACGCGAATCGAACCCAGCCCATTCCTTAATATGGTCAACAGAGGCAAAGACCCTTAAATGCCTGCTGAAGATGTCATGGCGGTCGTACGGTTTCCAATAAACTGGACCCATAGACATTGTCCGAGATTAAAACTACTGCATCTGAAGAGGCATTGGCAACTTAGCGACGACAACATGGATAGTAGAAGCCAGCTGGACTGCAACTGCGAATGGAACTACAATGGGAAAGAGTCCTTCCTACAAGTCTACAGGAGCAAAGTCCCTCGTCAACTGTTCGCATGGGCCACTATCCCGCCAGATGTGGGGTGCGGGGAGTGTCGAACTGGATACTTAAACAATGATGAAAAGTGCGGGGAACCAAGCCAGAAGCTGAGGACAGCTTCCCTTCTGAGGTTTAGGCAATGCAAAGACGTATAAGGGAGCAGACATGTTGGACCGAGCCGACTCCTGCCTGTTTGCGTTCCAGTGGCATTCGAGGAGGATATGAGGCCACCCAGAGTCAGATGCGTATGAGAAGCCGTATATAATGAGCGGCGTGGCCAGCGTGGTAGACTCGGATGGGCGGCGCTTGACATATGGCTCTGGTATGTGGTCTATAGAGCCTTGTTTGCTGTACTAGTCTTCTTCGTACGAGGTCACAGGTATTCTACGTTGGTGGCAACGGATGCGAATACTAGCAACTAGGCCCGACATAATGAGCATTCGCCTTGCCCACAATGGACTTATCCCCGGTATACTAAAGTCCCAAATCTCTTTTGTATCAATAAATTGTGTAATTGTCAATATGCTTTTTCATCATGCTCAGGCAAAAATCTTTGAATGCCATCTCTAGTTGTCATGCAGTCTATATAATTTTCCAAATACTGAATCCAGATACATTCCCCTGGGGTAGGACTACTGCATTAGAAGTGGCATCGACAAGTCAGCGACGACGATAAGGACAACAGAAGCCAGTTAGAATGCAACTATCGAAGAGACCTGTGATGAATTAAGCGGCCTTCCTGCATGTCAACTAGAGAATTATTCATCCATCTGTTAGGCTCTTAGGCCAGTTCCTCAGAGGTGTGGGGTATCTGAGAATGTCAATATGTGATTTTAAAAATCATTAACAGTATAGGGAACCAACCCAGAAAAGGAGAACAGATTTTCTACCAAGACCAAGCCCAGCTCAATCAATCGTGTCTGTGTGAGTTCGAATCTCCGGCTAGGACGATCTACAGACAACCAGAGACATGGATGGATGAGCCAGAGCGGTGGACTCGGATGGATGCCACCTGGCATATAGTTCTGGTTTATTAAATGGTTAATAAAGACAGTTCTGTTGAACTTATCTTCTTCATGCTGGGGCTCTGGTAATCTAAAATGGTGGCAGTGATACAAAGTGTTTGGAAAACGTGAATCGAACCCCAGTACTTTCCGCATCCTACTACGGACAATACAGGCGAGGACTCACTAATGCCAATTGCAATTTGTCAAAGCTGTCTATTCGATATTCCAAACAAGTGCATCCTTAGACATTGCAGGCGATTGGACCACTAAATCGGCAAGTCAGCAAAGACGAAAAAACATTAGAAGTCCATTTACTGTAAGTGGGGAATGTACCTTTAATTGATGGCGCCGCCTTCCTGAAATTCAGTAAGACCAACAGTATTCCATCTACTAGGTGCTTGGTCTGAGAGAAACAATAAATATCGTACAAGGCGCAGACGTATTGTTTTACGACAAGGGCATGCACTACTCTGTTTGTGTATATTTTAATGACATATGTTAAAGATTAGCAGCAAACCAGAGACAAGATGAATGCGTAGCAATATTATACGATCGGAGTAGCCAATATAATATATTTAAATACCTAGATTTAAAAAGGTTACAGCTTCTAATTTGTCCATAAAGCATGCGCTGATATACCTATCATCTATATACAAGGACTGGGGTATTTTACAACCACGTTTTGGTGTCGAAGAACGCAACCATTTAGGTCACACCGAGCTCAGCCAACTCTTTGTCCCTATGTGTTTGAAAGTTCCACGAGGAAGAAGAGACAAGGATAGATGAGAAGAGCTATATGATGTGCGGCACAACCAGTTTGGAGGGCTCCGATGGAATTCGTTAGACAAACGTAATCCTAGAAGCTGCCTCTACCGAACAAAACACAAACACCCTAACCAACTTATTGAGCGTTTTGGATTCCACTATTAAGCACCCCCTTGAAGACCTGGTGTTGGGAATGCCGATTTAGGTGGTGACAACGTCATATAATACTATGATTAGGAATTAAATTCAACAAAACTTAATACATTTCTTTATTGTAGGTTTGGTTAGTTGGGATTGTTGACAGAGAAGGACGTTGCTACAGGAAACCAGCAGATTTATTGCAAAAACTGCGAAAACGTGTTCATTATAGACTACAACCCCGTTGATCGATTTAAGCATAATTTCAAAATGAATTTTTCAGACAAGTGCATTATGTACATCACCCCTAATACTTATTCGAGATGACTATCGACATCATCTTCAAATTAAATTACAGCTTAAGTTATACACAAAAACGCAACAACTTTGGGTTTTAAATGATATGTTTTCCACATGTGACGCCCTGTGCGATGGATCCCGCGTTTCTATAATGCATTTCGCAAAACCGCATAAATACGCAGATTTTACACGACTAAACGTACGCAAACAGTCGTGAAGCAATGTCAAAAGAGTAGCCATATCTAAGAATTAGTAGATCAGCATTAATACCCAATTGTTCGAACGCGTTTCCCGAAGCTAATCGCTACACATTTGCGCTAGGAACGGCGGCAGCAGCCAGACTAGAACCAATAACCATGCCACTGACTGATAAGCAATCTGCTTGGTTACAAAGCACATTTAATGAACCGACGAGTCACAAATGGACATGAGATATCTATATAAGTTATAATATTAAAGGAAAGAGGGGGGAAATTGAAAGGGGAGAGCAGTCGGTGTGCACGACAGCCTCGATGGGCACTGCTGGTGTCCAAATGAAAGACTTCAAGAGCTGACTTTTTTGCCATTACATTGCGTCGAAGTGGAACCGCTGGGACTCTTGCAGCTTTTCTTGCTGGTCAGATCGAACTTCGAGGCACTGAAGCACGGTGACGACGACGATAAGGACTACACAGGTGACCAATAGTGTGATCGCAACGTAGATAACTTTCATATCGTAGAGAGGTTCCAAGAACAACTTGGTTTGCCAGCTGTTAGAAAAGAAAACATTTAGTAAACCAATTAAAAATAAAAATACTAAAAATATCTCCATTTTGGCGAAATATTTTAGAGTTAACCACCATGTCCTACGAACGAGGACATGATTATTAAGTTGTTTGAGTTTAATTTCATGCCTGTGAAATGTGAATTCCAGATCGCATCCATTTTTAAATGAGAGATGTAGTTTGCGTTCAATAACTTTACTTAACATGACTTGGCGAGTTCCTAATAAGAACAAAGACCGGCAATCACAGGAAATTACGAGAGGAAATTAGACCAGGGAAATTTTTTATTGATGGCAAAAGTTTGGCATTATTATGGATGGCCCTCAACGCACAATAGATGACTTTAATACACAGGATTATAGGCCAACTTCCTACAAGGTATATGGACAGGTGGGTAAATTGAAGGCAGCACCATATTTTGACTACTTTTAGAATTATTTGTCGGCATAATCAACGGGATTCTGTTATAATCAAATTTTCTCACATTGTCGATCATAAAAATCCGGACCACCTAGAGAGGACTATTAATTACACAAAGATACCTTCTTAACAGACCGTTCATTTGAGTGCTATTAAGCATAAATCAACGCACTAATAAGACCAGTAATCTTAAGAATTATTAGATTTCTAGAGACCCTATCTGTTAAGGTTCTAGTTCAACGATGCGTTTGGCTTGAAATACAGTACAGTTAACTTCAACAGTATCAGTCAAAGCGAACTGACGTGGTGGAAATGGTGTAGAATCTCGTTTAGTGAATTTCAGCCAAAGTTGTACAAGTAACAGACACAAGTGAAAACGAGATAATGATGGTAGGGCAGGTTACTGATGGTAAAACTACGGTCTCAAACTGACAACGCTTGAAACGATCAACGTAGCGAAAACACAAAGACGCTGTTAACAAAAAAATTGCTTACTCAGAAGGTGTTTCTATTGGATTCGGAACAACCACGACTTGAGCGTTTGGAACAATAAAGGTGAGTTTATGAGTCCGTGTTTCCTAAATACAGAACAAAAGTACAAAATCTGAAAGTTACAGACCTTTCGCCAGTCCCTAATTCTAATTCTTTGAGCATAATCAAAGTGTTTTTCGTAAACTCGATAAATAAAGTAGATTTTAAAACCTTTATAGTAGTGAACTTTAGTGCCCGGGAGTCATTCATGTGTTGAAGAAGCGCAATTTAACCCTAAATTGTGCGGTGTGTAAACTATTGTACCTAGGAGAGGGTGTGGTTGTAGACCCATGAAACTAACCGAAATCTGTTACACAAGCTTTGCTTAAAATCGGAGTAGGCTAGTCTAGAAAGCTACCAAGGAACGTGACGAGAGCGATGAAGCGAAACCTGCTCACTTATGCATACGAAGTAAAAGTGGTAAGAAAACATTCGACATTTGACAGTTTTCCTTCACCAACAGAAGCTTCCAAAGCGGTCTTGAAAATAAGGCCACTGGGCTTACATTGGTCGGCGCAGGAATGGAAACAGGCACATTTTCGACGTAATTAGCAAAGTCACCAAAGCCGAAAATAGTGAAGGGTAGCTGGAGGGCGCCACAACAGGCAGAGGTCACAAACACCGCACTGGAGTGTATGCGACTTCCGTCGGCACCCTGGGTTTCGTAGGAAGCACGGAAGCCGTAGCCCGGAAGGCCGTAGGGCAGGACACCACCGGGACAGTCACTTGGACTTCCACAGCGACCGGTAGTCAGCATAACCTGTACATTTGAGAGAACCAAGGACGCTGCATATTAAAACAGACAGAATACATGGGATAACAATTGTGAGCAGCATAAAACGAGAAATTGCTCAATTTGTTTCCAACTCGCACCTAGTATTAAAGTTGCCGACTACATAGAGGGAACGAGATATCATGTAATAACGAGATGTAATTTAATTTCCACCACTAGTTACCATTTCTGTTCAGAGATCAACAAGTTATTCAATCATTCTGCAGTAAAAATCTCCGTGTTTTGACCTTGAAAACTGTCAAACATCATGTTCGATTCTATGTCAGTTTTGAAATAAATGTCACCCAAATTGAAAGAAATGATTGGAAAAGGTGAGGATCCGAAGGAACGAAGTCTTGAGAGCATGAAGAATGTGATTGGACTCTCAAATTGGGAAGAATTGAAAACTACAATCAAACCAATTATGACACATTCCTCAAACCCAATAAGTTATGACCCCTGATTAACCATTACGACAAAAGCTACGAAGCCCATTTTCATACAAGATTATTAAATATATTAAACATATTTTCTACAAAGCTTTTATATATAAATAGACAGGACTGAATGTATTCGTAAATTCCGAACAAGTCTGTCTACTTTCGAGATAATCATTGAGAGATGTGGAGGCGGCAGCATGGATAACACAAGACCAAAGTTAAAAAACGCACAACCGAGATATTCAGGGACGAGGAACCATTTTGGACTGAGATAATGAGACATTACAGGTCCTTAAAGCACAAAACCAACCACACACGCAATACATTATCAAATTAGACTTACCTTTAGGAAGTACGCTTCTTTCTGTAACTTTTGAACGTACAAAGAAGTTGTGGCGGATTCTCCACACGAGTGAGAAAGGAAGAGATCTAGGACACCCTAACAGAACAACACTATGGTTGTAAACAACCTCTATCAACGAAATTGTCAACTTTTGACTACTATGTACAAAAAGTAACTTGGAATTAAAAAGGAACACAATAATAAACCGACTTCTGGAAGTGCACACCAAATCGCGTTTATAAGTCAACAATTATGTAGATAAAACCATGAATATTAAAATTTAATACTGTACAGTTCCATTAGGTAGCAAAATACATACGATAAAAGCTCAAAAAAATTGCCCTGATAATAAAAAAACTATTTTTGCATAAAATGCTGTCACTCTTAGTAACTCATAAAAAAAATTTGCTGCAAAGCACAAACAACACAATGACCAAACGGCCTGAGCCGAAATATGTGCAGGAGAGTACAAAATAACGTATCTAACCTAAAAAAGCAGATGTTGGAAAAACCGGAACCCCAAACTACGACAAAGATAGGCGTGTTGCGCGAAGCAATCGAAAACAAATAAATGAAGTCAAAGATGACCAAATGAACTGTTGGGGATCCAGGATTCCCCAAAATCGCTTATCGCCGATTTTGGTCAATATGTACGTTAATGCCCCAACATCTGTTCTATTACGCCTTATTGCCAGGTCAAGGTCAACCTTGACTTGAATTAGTGGACACTTTCGCCAATCCACTCCGTACGTGGCTGATGCGATCAGAGCTCTCTACACGAGTTCTGGTCTTGTTATTGTATCAGCGTGGGAAAGTCGGTTCTCGCGCCAACAAGGGATCTGGTACTGTCATTTGAGTGGTTTTCTCTTGGTTACGGGCAACGTAATATGAACATTTTCATGGTATATGTTTTTTTACAAAAGATGCAGAGCACTCACGTCTTCGTTGTAATCAAAGAAAGCTATTTGCTTTAACTGACACGTGGCATTGGGCTTCTCAATACCAGGTAGAAGGTAGGCTTGGAATTTAACCGCGCCGGCCGTGCCACGGAGATTACGCAGGATGGCGGGGAATACTGCTCCTTCGCCGCTCTCAGGGTGGAATTTGAGTCCCACTGCAAGATCCGGGTAACCGTCCAAGTCTGCGTCGCCCAGAGACGGACCGACTAATGCAGACCTCGAAAACTCGTCATCGGGGGAAGGTGCGAGAGACCAGGTGCCCACTGCATCAACATCAGGCGGGTCCCATTCTATGGGAACATTTTCCCAATCCTAATTAAGAAGAAACGATTTACGCGCACCAATCAAATGACCATCGGCATTAATGCATGTTACTAGGAAGACTGCTAAAAGGGGACAAAAGCAATAAAATTACACAAAAATCCCATATTTTTCAGTGCTTTCACTTATAAACAAGCTATTCACATTTGGGATCATTTCCTAAAAGCTTAGACAACTCATTTAAAATCACTTATCAAGGCTCCAGAAATGTAAATAAAAAACAATGCGTAAGCAAAATCAAAAAAAACTTACACCATCACCCACGAGGGATTTCAAGTAGACAAATGAAGAATTCGCACAAGTTTTACTTCGACAGCCAGCGATCAGAAGTTGAATGTTGCCCGACATATCTAAGGAAGGGGAAAAAATTCAAGACATGTCGTTTTAACCCGTTAAAAAGGGGGTTAAAATTATTTTTTTTCATGAATTACACTGAGTGCATGTTAATATGGCATGCAATTCACCCATATGGAACATTTTATGAAACAATATGAGATATTGAGGAAGAGGAGGGGAGTGAATAAAAGCAATATTTAGTGGATGGACTGGAGAAGTAAGGCCACTGAGTGGAACCCCGGCTACCACAAACAGCACAGGTGCATAATGAACACAATTTCATGACAATAATATGAAAAAATATAATAAGCACTAAAGAGTCACATAGGCAAAACCACTGAATGGAACCAAAATTTGTAAAACAAGGTCCGCCGGATTTGGGGAACACATATGCAACAGCCGCAACTCGCTTTGAATTGATACTACAGCTAAAGATTCCATATATTTCACCATCAAGGAACAGATAAGTCAATCTCGCCAACGAGCGAAATCCAGGCTTCCGCAACACCTAGAACGGGCATTCGTTTCAAGTCGCAATGACGAATCTCTAGTCTCGGTGCTTTCGATAAGCAATGGATTCAATCCCTGCACAGGAATGACTGTTCGCCTCGTGATGTTTGAGGGATCGAATGGTTTCATGGATAAGCACGTTGTGGTTTCGTGCTTAGGAAATTATTTTGGGCGTTGAGGAAGCAGCCACCTTTTGAACCCAGAAAATATTTATAAGCACAAAAACTAATTTACTCTTTTACGGACGTGAGTGCAGCAGCAGGCAGTTAGAGCAATGGGTGATTTTCGACAGATAGAAGTGCTACTTCCCCGTGGAAAAGTAAACCAACTATGTGAGTTTGAGCTAAAGGATTTGGTCGAAAACGCGAGAGTTACGTAGTAATGTGCTTCATCGATTCTAGGGTTACCTCGTTTATTAATCAAAGGGGAAGTGAATGTTTGGCTTTTTGGCATCACGCTTGACTCTTCCGAAATGAAGCCAGACAATTACCGTGTTGTCGAGTTCACATGTAATGAACTTATAGCACTTGAGTCACATCCAGTGCAGAATCACCAATTTTCGAACGTGCATTGGCTCAAACCTAGTTTGCTCACCAACACGTCAATCGAAAGCAAACTCACTGAAATCACCAAAGACGAACTTTCCAATGTGTCCGTTTTTTGAGGCTTCTTTAAGAACATCATCCAAGTCAAGTAAGCGCGGTCTGCTGGTTTGCCCGGTTGTCGTGTCCGGTGGCGAAAGGTCATCGTGTACTTCGATTTTCGAGTTCTTATTAAGGATGACAAGAGCTGAAAGACAAATGGACTCGGACATGCTGCTTGAAACGCAGTCATAATTCACACATCGACATTAGCTGCTTGACTGGCTGGGCAATCATCGTCACATTCATCCAACTTAAGAAGCATGACTCGCATCGGTATTCCATGAAGCCTTCGTTAATGTACTAGAGGCGGGACTCGGTACCATTTGTTTTGTCACAAGGATAAATCGGGCCAACTACTTTCAACCGTGAAATAGCAAGGACAATTTGTGGAGGCACGGTAGTTGTGATGCGTTCGCCAAAATGGTTAGTTTTTTCTACCTTCGATTTAATGGACCTTCGCGATGACAGCATTTCGAGAGGCTGACAACCCTCGCAGCCGTGACGGTCGGGGCAAAGACGACTGCTCTGCCACTCGCACGTGAGCCGGGCGTGCTCACGTCAACGCGATCCAGGTGGTTCATGCACGTGTGCACAACCTCCAAGTCACGTGATGTTGGATTTGTGCCCTTGGTCACGTGACCAGTCGGTGCTTTGTTGGTGCTCCCACTAGCCCACTCCAAAACAGAGCATTACTCACGACCTGCGAAGTGATGGTTCTTCCCACTCTGCAATCCCAAGCCCACAATTGGCTTCCTTATGAAATGGCCAAACACATAACACCATCTGTTAGAGTTATCAATAGCCGGCGAATCCAGGAGAAACCGCACAAAATACATGCCATTTCTCCAACCTTCAAATTCCACTAACGCAGAATTTTAGGCAGAACCCATGTTATTCAACGGATGACATTGTTTGCTATCCTGTCATACCTTAAAAACACCGACAAAGAACGATAGTCTGATGTAAACGAAAACCTTTGATCACCCGCCTCCCCTGTGTAAGCCTCATGCTTCAACGGCAAACTGTTGGTGACCGAAGAGTGGGCCTAGGACACAATTTGACCACGGGCTGTCAACTGCATTGGAGGATTAAATGTTGTTTGGCGAGTCATTGGGGAATGCGAGTTTACTCGACAACACTTTAACAACGCTTACAATTACCAAGTTGTGAATTCCGCCAATCACAACAGTACGCAAGTAGCCGCATCTAGGAGTGAATGCGGCAGCTGCAGATGTGGGGCCGAGTTCTGAGAATTTGGCCAATGTGCAGCACTCTCTTGTCATGAGCTGCATGAACTAACCTCACAACAGAATTCCTGATGGAACCAACAGGTTACCAGTTCAAGACGCACCACTTGTGCACTTGAAATGCTAATCCCTGATAAGCACACCAACTTCGTGGCCGAGCATTTCGACGCTGCAAACCCAGCACCACAGCTTGCATTTTATCACCTGTCAACTGCATTATGGGATTGAAGATGTGCACACACCTACCTGATGCGGTGATATTCAGTGGCGTGTTCGAAGTGCGAAGAGTGACAGTGGTACTTTCTCGGGACTTACAAATCAATAATTACAAAGATGTGGTCGGTCACTTTTGCTGATGTACCAGAGTAACATCATGATATGCTTTCACTTCCCCCCATTGACAGGATGTCTTCAGTGGTCCCTACCCGTCATTCTCACTTTCCCTAATAACAGCTGCAGGACAGCTAATAAAGAAGTTTTAAAAGTTTAAACAATACATCGTCAAGTGCAGCTTATGTAGCCAGTGATTCGAGATTACCGCATGGACCTTTTCCCGATTAGCACAAAAAAGGAGAAGCTTAAGCATTACATCAACTTTAGTTCCACACTAAAATATTATCCCTTTCGCACAAGGAGAACGAGGAGTTTCAAAAGAATACAGTTTCGTAGTAAGTCACTACGGGTGTTTTCTACACTACTACTACTATCACTAAGTGTTGCCAAATGTTCTCCTGGTGCGATTACCTTCATTTTGTACGAACAAGAAAATGATGTCAATTACATTACTCAGAAGCTAAAATTCAGAGTTTACGATTTTAAAATTAATATAGCATCGGTTCGACGAAGATACGTAAAGTTCAAATCACACCGACCAAGGTGAAGAATGAATGCCATGAAACACGATAGATTTCCTAGGATATCGAATGGATTGACTTAAGGCCTTAAGTTGTGACGAAAAGATTGATCCAATGTTATACCCTGTTGCCGATTAGATTAGATATCCAATGCTTAACTATCAGACTTCCATTACTTATTACGAAATGCGTTGCAGCCAAACCACGAAAACGAATTGCAATTATAAAGGGCAACTCACATGGATTAGTATTTGAACCAAGAGGTGCAAAGCCTGCGTTGCTCGAGTGCCATGATGCAGATGGTGTATTATTGTAAATAATGTGATGAAAGCCTTCGGTCCTAAGTGTAACACAAAAGATGACTAGGAAAGCATAAAGTACGGGGGAAGGTGATATGAACTCGGTCAAGCGAATCTGACCTCACAAAACAATAACATTAAAAAATGTGCAAGTGATACTGATATCAACCACTCTACGGCCATCTGAAATCCGAGGGCGATTTCATTTTAACTGTTTGTGAGTGAACACCTACGCGATATAAAATTCACTTTAACTTGAGCATTACGAAGCAACGACTGACTGGAGACGCTAAGTCATTGTCAAAGAATAACAGACGGTGAAACATACAAAAAAGAGTACAAAGACAATTGTACACAATAATGGCTGGTAAGAAAAAGTGATTTTACTTCGTTTGAATGGGGCTTTACCATGCTTCAGAGTAACGCGACCGATAGGAGAACGTGGGTTCATGTCTGAGAGGTGGGGCATAGAAAACTGGCTTTAAGATTAGTAAAGTTGTAAGCTTACGTTCCCATCAGGACAACACGCGTGTGGTTTGGATTCAGTTCGTAGACATCAGCAATCATGTCGGCGTTGGCGTCACAGATCACCGGCTCCGTTGCAAACTGCGAAACAGTTGTTATTCCTAAAAAAAGTATTAAGAATCACTAGGACAATGTGCGTATTTTACGCACCTGTTTTACGTCACTTTGAGGCCTTCAGGACACGTCCTCTCGCAACAGCAACCAAAGCAAGCTAAGGAACCACTCACCAACAGGCAAGACTTGACTAAAAGCCAGTGATACCAACAACGGCCCACGGTTTAAATTTGGCACTGTTACGACAAGCCGAGTTCACTAGGGAGACTCATTCAAAGCGTACAGGAATCAACAGCAAAAGCACGTTTCGGATATAGGGCTAGTGATTAGGGTCACACTGTTCCTTTGAAAGGAACTAAAATCATGCTCAAAAGGAGAGGACTAAGTATAACTGTTTTACCGACAATGATAATGAGATTTAGCTCTATTGGTACATTCAAAGAGACGATGCGTTACGTGCGAGGACAAGTGCAAAAGTGAAAGCTCTCTGACAAGTAATTATTTACAGTTAATTTCGAGGTGTTTGACGAGTACTGGTTAAGACTATAAAAAACTCTCGACTGTGTACTATATTTTAAGGGCGATGGCTAAGTTAAACAAGTAGCACTACGAAAACATGGACATACCTTCAATTCCGCCGAATAAAATACTGATGTTGAATAAATTTTCATGATGATCTACAAAAAGGTAATCCACACGGGAATCGCCATTGAAGTCAGCCACTACAATACTTCTCAAATTTGTGGGGGTATGGTTTAGTAGATCTTGCACTTGAGGTTTGTTCGTGGACTGTTTTGCGTTTGGTGACATAAGCGCAGACAGTTTTTTCAAGGTTCTTGACCACACAAGAGCATCCGTCCGCCTGTCAGCATTCACATCCACAAAGGCGGCGAGATCAAAATCTGACCAGCAGTCGACAAGGGAGAAGCTCGAACCCCCAGGGCCCGTTTTAGGTTGAGGCAGTTCGCAACACACACCGAAAATCAAAATCGACACAAGGTACACGTGCACTTGCATTGCTAAAAAAGAAAAGTGACGCTACACAACTGGAAACGCATGACGAGGTGTACATTCCACAATTAACATGTAAGAAAATGCAAAACTAGGAGTGCTGATTGCGATTTAGTGGCATGAGTTCATTAATGTATAAACTGACCAAATATCTTGCTGTGGGAAAACCTTAGATACACTTTAAGCAAAATGCTGAAATAATAAGGCCAATTGATTAGTTTTACATTCACAAACACGCCCACATCAATCAACGTACCGCGAGTCATGAAAAATACGATCGTGCACACAAATCAATTAAAATCGCACACAGATCAAGAGAATTGGAAGTGAGTCACACAAGCGTAGGGTATAAAAGAGATACAGGGTGATAGTTTATATTTCGCATAAACCTTAGAACAAAAGATGTGAAAATACAAGTCTTCTACACCGAAGAATAAAAAAACCGGCGCCAGACGAAGCCTACGGTAACGACAGCGACTGCTCCACAAACAAGCAACCTCTGGTTGATGGCATTCAACAGAAAAGGAGATGGAGACCTTGAAGATGCCTGACCACCCAAGCGTCGTTCATCGGCCCCCTGGAGAAGCTTCTCAGGTCCCACTGTCTGATAGATATCGAGAGCACATTGGATTAATCTCTCGACCTCGTGTTTCATTGGAAGATGGGTAAGTGCTCGATGAAGCTCACCGAAATCATCGGAAGTTGAACTTATTTCTTCTGTGCTGCATATAATCACCTAGTGAAATTCATTATACCACAAGTTTCAACACCAAACGAGACGATCGAACAGATTTACCATTATTTATGTATTACCATAATCGAAAATGCGCTGGAAATAGACAATTTAGGAAGAACATTCCATAAGTGTACTCATCGTAAGCCAAGAGCATTTACACCAAAATAACATACTGAATCTTATCCAAAAGACAATAAGGCTACAGGCGTTACTTCTTGACAATTTCTATCAAATCAACTCAATACCATAACCCATTCTAAATACAAGAATTTCCCAGTTCTTCTAACCATGTCACGATAAACTATGGCTGACACCTATGCCAAAGCTTCAAACAGTCGTAGCTTTGGTATAGTGTCACCAATTAAAAGTGCCCAAGTGTCCGGATAAGCTACTTTGTCACATCGGACCGTGGTTTACGCACAAGATCACCCAGAGACGGTAGTGCTAAAGTAAGGTTAAATTACCAAACCCACCTTATTTGGATCGTATGTGGACTTAAAAAACCGAGTTCTGACAATAATTACATGTTTATAACAAAAAATACGAAATTTAAGAAACTAGGGCCCAGTCACACGAGAAAACGTCTGGGTGTTGATGCTCAATACATAAGACAGCAGTTCAATTTATGAATAAGTTAAATATCAGATAGTAAATGCGCTAGCTCACTTAATATGAAGAAGAGTACAGCATTATCGTATATGACTAAGGCGAATGACTAAAAATAATTTGCCAACTCCATAAAATAAGGGCTCCAGATGAAACATGTAAAAGGATGTTTTGATTGATTTTACACACGTATACAACACTTCACACGTCAGCGAAGCGTCAGAAACACAGGTAATTGGGCCTAAGAAAGAGCATACCGAAACGGAGAGGTAAATCAGCATAGTGGGATCAGAAGCCAAGAAAAGATCATATAGCCGATGAACATCGTTACTATCGGAGAGGATGTGGGTAAACCAAGTGAGGAACCAGGAAAGTGCAAAGAACGGCTCAAAATTCAAAGCCTGAAACCGGGACCAAATCTCTGGAGAAGTAAGCTTCAAAAGATCGAAAACCAACTGAAGCATCTCTGACGTAGCATTCATTGTCTTTTGCATAAATGAACTAGAAGAATAAAAAAAATTAGTAGAAGGGAGAAGTTATTTTAGAGAAAATATGGTGGCTCGTGTTACCTGAAGTGCTTTGGAACAATTTGTCTGAGAACCGCAAAAGCGTCATCTGGCCCAAGGACCGCGAGGCAAGTAAAACAGATATCATGGAAACCCTGTGTGGAAAATTCCCGTTAGTGACAGCAGAATTTCGCAAAGAATCATGTACCAACAACCAACCTGATAGTAATGAAGTTCGGGATATTCGGTCAGGATTGATAGCGCGAGCCGTTTTGTCTCTGTAATTAACCTCTCACTCTCTTCAGTTGAAGTGCCTTCAGGAATCATCGAACCCATCCTGCGCACGTCAAGTTCTATTTGTTTTGCTTGAGGATGGGATAGAAGGTCAGCTAGATCTAAGAAAATCGAATAACGTCAACATGAAAAGTGTACAGAATGTTTGGCCAATCATTTAACTGTTGAGATACTATGGGACAGATACCAACTACGTTGAGAAAGTCGTAAAAACGCAACATTTTGCATTGTTTTCGAGAAAACAGCAAGAGAGCTAGGTTGCTTAGGCTGGTATTCAACTTGTAAAAACTGACGGGAATAGGTCCAATTATGAGCTCATATTCATCAGCAAAGAGCGCTAACACAGAACCCAAATATTGGTTCTGATATGAATTCGCTATTAAGGCTTTTTTAAGTAAAGTGGTAAAAAATTACTTAACTTACGCTGGAATTAGGAAATTCACTGACCATAAAACATCACTGAATAGAACTCAACACTAGTATAACCATCAGTTCCTAAGACTTTCAAGAGATAATTATTAACTTGCGACAAAGTGCTACTGGAGGCCTTCTAAGATCTCAATAAATTGAACACACTAAATCCTATCAAAAATAATTAACATACATGATGAATGCTCGACTAGTTACCAGGAGATACAAAACTTGACTTTGCAATCAAAACGTTGACTCTTCAAATGAGGACGTACCATATTCATTTTTATTAAATGATGACTTAATCCCGACGAGTACCGGCCACACTTTTCTCCTAACTTCATCGTTTACAAGACCATACCGCGAAATCGACCACACACGCAAACTTTGAAGGTCGTGACCGTCATTTAAGTGTTTAAGAATATAACAGACTTTCTCTGATCTGTATTTTTCACTTAAGTCTACGTATCTGCTGGAATCAAGCAACATATAAGACCAGGAAGTGAGATGGCGAAAACCAAATGCCAGTGAAATTGCATAGTTTCTGACCAATCAGAGAGGTAAATATCATACTGTGTCTGTCAGTATCTAATAATAATTTAACAGTCATATGCCTTATTTTTGCATCAAACAAATGTAATCACTTATGCATTGTTATATTCGAAATTAAAACACATAGCCCTTGAGATTGCATAATTATTAATGTGACCAATGTTGGCTTGAGTCCGACCAACTGTATGAACTAGGCGATCAGGATTACTTTTGTGCAAATGGAATAAGGAATTAACTTTTTTAAAGCCTATAATAATTGTATCAAGGTATTTGCCAAAGTTTTTTCAATTTTTGCATCCGGATTGATGATAAACAGATGCTGACAAAATCAAAGGACAGGTTTTCCTCCATAAATATTTCCAAAACATTAGGAGGGCTGCTTAATACTCTTGCAACCATAGAATTTGCTATCACGATGATTTTGAATGTTGTAAGAAAATTTAATTAATATTACATTCGGTAATTTGCATTGTATCAACACCGAAACTGTTGAACTTTGTGGCGCTAATTATATTGCCTTTATTTCACCTTTAAAATTTGCATCATTAGAGAATAATAAATGACGCTCATGCAGATTTAAAAAAAAATTTCTTGTACTTTGTGTGTGCATACATTAATGTTATTAGAACTTTTAATTAGCTATGAATAAATGCCTTATTTACCAGGGAGCAACAATTTGCCTATATAAGTGGGCATTGCTTGGTTATCTAAAGACGTAATTGACTAAGTGTATGCAAAACTGTCCTACTTAATGTGTGTTGACCTCGGTACCTAAGCCAATGCTTCAAATTCGATAGCTGCATTCATATTTTGCCATAATAATTTGTTGCACCTGCATATTCTCATAATTAATCGCAAATTATTTTGGTCTCAAATATGTCCTCATCCATCGTTTTTCTGCTAAAAGGGACACTTATGAAATCAAAGTAGACTCCTGATGCTTGGATGCACATTTCTCCTTTCCAAAGACCTGGTTATACAGTAGACAACCCATGCCGTATAAAGTGTCTTATAACTTTTATCTGACATGTAAAAAGCCTCTTCCTTCGTCTCTGACTGCTCTTTTTTCTTTGTCTGCAATCACGATCCTTTCTTTTCGCACTCTGCTTCTTCACCCTGCACACTGACGTGGCAACACTAGATGAGTGGAGTGGTTATATAATACTAAGGTAAGTCCTTTTTGTCCACATATTTTTTTAGCAAATGCTGATTTTTAATCGCCGTAAAGCCTACTCTTTTTAATAACAGATATGTGTTTTCAAGCGAGCCTTATCGTTAATTATTTTAATGAGGTCTTGCAAGTTAACTTAAAAGTTTTGTTGACAAACGTTATCTTAAGATCCAATCATTAAGGAGTATAAATACAGGTTCCCCGTTCATGCTGAGTGATTGGACCAAAAGTCGTCATCCTCACCTTTAAACTTTTAAATTGGCTTTTATGCCTCCATTTGTTAGTTTTAAACTTTTAAAAATTCTGTTAAGCACTATTTCCTTTTGACTCGGCCTTGTAAAGGAGATAGAGGTGTTGCGTAAACCAGAAATTTTTTTGTGCTCCACTTTGAAACGGTTTTAAAACATCATTTTTAAAAACAACTTTAAAATCTGTTTGGTGGTTGTAGGCCTTTAATATAGTTCTCTAGTTTATGCGCTTCGATTTTTTTTATAATGCTGTGAAAACAGACCGATTCATAATAATTATTTATGTGTCATGAGAGAGACGTTGGCAATATCGAGAAGAATTAGAATTTAATTACGGCTCTGGTTACTTCTGGTTGTTAACGTCTTTGATAACTTTGTTACTTCGAACAGCCATTTTCTCAGTTGTCTTTTGAATTTACTGTACTTGGATTATTTCTAATTTAAAAAGTTTATCAGTAACGCACTAACAGGTTTGTTATTCAAACGATGTTGCCAAACTCATTCCATCTCCTCCGGGCTATTCGGATTGTCTCAGACACTGAATGTAGGTCAACTATTTAAATCCCCTGCAGATACAGTATGCGGTCAAGACTAGGTAGTTAGAAATTTAAATTATTTTCCTGCTGAAACAACGGGTGGTTAAATCGGTTATGAAAATTGCGCATGATGTAGGTCTTCACATCTGCAAGTTCTACAACTGCTCGACGACCGATGTTGATAAACAACATGATTGCTCGACAAACATTGAAGATATAGGTTATTATTTTCCTGTTCCACAGAGTTAAATAAATGGAAAAACACATATCTATCAAAGCAACAATCTTATTTTTAATTTGGACAATGAGCCAAACTGCGCAGTCACCTTAAATCAAATCGCTAGTGATTTATGAGCACTGTTTCTACTGTTGCTCGCATGCGCCTGAGTTGACACCTAAGTTAGCAAACAAACCTAGCAATTTTAGGATAATCTTTCGGAAATATTAAAAAAAAATTCCAGAGCATTTCCTTAATAAAATGCAGCAGGTAACTCAGGTGGGATAAGTTTTCGTTTACGATAGACTTAAGCGTATATAGGTTACCTGACTTATGATCAAAGCTATTTTTACAATGCTTTGCATTTTATCTGGGCTGTTTACATTTTCGAAGCGCAAGCAATGATCTCTGAAGCCTTACCTAGCAGTTATTAATTTAATCCCAATGCACCAAAGTTCTAACAAGATAATGCATAAAAGTTATATTTTTAATTTTCTATATATCAAAACGTTTTGGTAAACATATATTTGCTTAGCACTTTTTTCTGATTTAATGTGCTAATTAATCACCAACGCTGGTAAAGAAAAGAACAAAATAGATTAGAACATCAGAGAATACTTGAATGCAAAATGCGTGAAATGTAACACAAATAAAATTGCATACAAAAAATGCGTTTTGAATATGAAAACATTATGATGAAAAAGTAATAGTTCCCCGGTTTTCTTATCGAGAACACAATTTTAGAGAAAGAATTTAGCAAAACGCTACTGGCATATTTTGTCATCGAGATCGTATTGTCATTTTCATCTTGTGGTTATAATTTCGACAGCTGCTCCTGGGTTAAAAGAAATTAAGGGAAAAGTAGCAAAACACAGACATGGCCAGTAACAATACTAGTGTGGTAAGAAACTACATTAGCAATTGCCTGCTTCTGCTTTTATCTAAAAAAAGTATATTTGAACGTAAAATTAGCCTATGACAAAAGTGTGCTTTAAGTTAAAACCAATTTAGGTTTCACAACCAAGTGCGTCTTAAGATGATTGGCTTCTTCGTTCAATCACAGTGATTACATAGGTCACTCAATGCATTTGTTTAAGAGCTAATTTTGAAGCCTTTGGGCTCGTTTCTGGAATGCGTTGAAATCTCATTGTTTTGAGGCTGATATCGTATGTGGAGTTTATGTTAAAGTTTTAAAGGTAGTTACTGCTAAAACTACTTCTGAATTTTTATTCATTTTATCCTCTGTATCTTTACACTTCTCATAATTTGCGTAAAACGCTCTTTGAGTCTCTGAACCATAAATGCGTTTTATTTAATTTCGTAACAAAGATTCTTTTGGTCATCTAGAAATGGTTTAAGTTAAAATATCCAAGGCAGCTAGTTATTTTTAAGGAAGGTGATTGTTAATTTTCGGATTTTTTTAAGGCTACAAGCACTTAAATACTTCACAAGAATTGCCAGGTGTTCTTTGCCTTTGCCTCACCACATATTCTATGAAGGTTTGGGCTTTACCTTACTGATGACCATATTTATGACAATCATAGTCGTTTTTCTATTCCCCAATTATAGTTGTTCATTTGTCTAAAATTGTCATCGGAGGTTTTTTCGGAAATATCTATCAACCACATTATATACAAAGAAGTTGCAGTTGTTTTATCACCGAATAAAACATTTTCCAGTTATCGTAAAACAAATATTAAGGTCAGGTTTGCTTGATAAGTAACATTAAAATTTTTTTTATTACTCTAAAAGCCTCTTATGTATTCATCGTAGCCGAGAATGCAATGTGTTACTTGCTTTAACGCTTTATATAATTTAGATACTATGAGTAACTTGGATAGTTGTGAAACACCCCCGGTACGGGTTCCAGATATGGAAAGGATACGCAACGCACGTCGAAAACGGCAGCAGCAGCTCAAAAGATGGGCTCAGTACGACAGATCTATGGAGAAAAAAGAAAGAAAGAGCCGTACCTCTGTCTCACCTCCTCCAGGATCCAATCCTGGTGGGCGCAGCCATCCCGGCCTTCTGCGGGCTGTCCAATTCTCACAAGCTGTCATTCTTCTTGAAGCTGCTGCTCGGGATGATTTAGACGAAGGTAAGTCAAAATTTTGTACTTCATGATTAAATAGGCATTCATGGTAACCGCAAATGAGGGAATGGTCAACGTAGACCATGTTTATTGACTAGGTGGTCGTTTAGGTAAAGTTACTATTTATATTTACGAAGAAGATCAGTTTGCATTTACTCATCCAGTTGTGAGCATTCGATACAATCAATGGAACATCTTATTAACTTCATCGGGGGATTTATTTTAAAATTTAACACTAATCTTATTTGTTCTCCTTGAATTACCGTGGAAGATGAATGCTATTTTTGAAGGGTTTTAAGTTATGACTGCCTTTTAAACCAATGGACGTGCAGTGCCCTAAAGTACCTACGTGTGTTTTTGGGTTTAATATTCATTCATTCGGTTAATTCTTGATTCGACGTCTATACATAACCTAGTAACTTAGATGATATTATTGCTATGTTTTAAACTTTTTTTTGACTTGATAGCTCCTGCACATAAGTACGCGTCATCCACCTTTCTGCGGTTAATGGACAGCCAAACGTTTTCATATAATCAAGATATATTATCTAGCACATTACGAAGAGAAATAATACGCAAGGACAAATACATTGTGCAGTATTACTTTAAGTAAATGCAGTTTTATAGTCGTCTATTGCATCCTGAAGCCTAGTTGTACGGAAGGCTAATCTATCACTATTGAAGAACTTCGTGATTCTAGATAGGTGTCTGAAATTATTTAACTCCTAAAGGTTTATTAAATGCTGAAGTACAACACTTCGGTATTTAACAGCTGCATGAAAAACCCCCAATCACAAAATAAAATGTTTTTCGGTTTCCGATCTTTTTATACGCGTCCGTCATGCACATTGTGATTCCGTTCAAAAATGACCGTTTTTAAAGCCATTAACATGTTAAGTATCCCAACTTTTAGTGCCCCCTCCTAACACCTTTTATAACCTAAATACCAGAAATTCTTATAGATTGAATAGTGCATTATCTCGTCAGAATTAACCTGGTTAATTGCATCATTTATATGCCAATATGTAGGACATCAAGTCTGCATTTGTGCAAATTGAATCGACTCACATGATAAGTCAACTTTATTATATAAAACAACTTTATGGGTGCACTAGTCGGGACTACAGTAGGTTAATTTATTTGAATCAGCGGGAAACCCCCGAATAATATGTGCTGTTCATTACTGTTTTACTCATCATATTAGAAAGAATCGAATTTTTTGCCATCCGAACTACCAAATCTGGTAGTTTGAACATGTCTAATAAGTCCCCTTTCGTTAGAATAACGGTATTGTCACCACGCACGGGGTTTTTTCTGGGAAATCTTTACTGTGCCGTTAAATATTTTGCCCAGCTGTGCACAATGCTAGTTTGAGTTTTCTTTTTCTTTACTAAGGTCAGTTGAGGTTCGATTATAACAGCAGGAAATTTGTGACTTGTGTGTATTTAATGTAGTTGTGAGCAAATTATTTTCGAAAATATATTATTCCTTAACGGACCTATTCCCAATTTATAAACAAACACAGCCCAAAGTCATGCACTCAAAACAGTAATTGGCATTGGTGCTCATCATTTTGTTTGTATTAATTGCTAATGTGTTTCGCATGTATGTAATTTTCTTTGAAATCGGCAATGTCCAATACTGTGGCCATTAGTAGAAAATTTATGGTAAAGCGTGTCGACGTACGATCATATTTAAACATCGTGGTCTAGAATCTTTTATGGCACCATACTCGTCTGCACGAGCACGTCATAAACCTTTTCTACGCCTTCGACCTCACTCCAACAGAAAAGTGCGACGATATTAGCAGGTGTAAAGTACCCAACATACGCCGTAAGATTCAGATATGGTGGCTAATTCATAGTAGTTGTGAAGACGTATAATATAATGCAGAGAAATGTCAAACATTATAGAAGGGGAAATATTTGTTTAAGGTACTTGTCTAGACCAAGTTCTACATCTGCGCTCTGCTTCAAATAATGAAAAAATTACCTCGACTCCTATTTTGCAGTTGAGAAATCTAGAAGCCAGTAGTGGAAATCGAAATTCCAATGACTTTGCAAAATATTGTTCCTTCTCTTTTAACGAAGACACACTATTCCTGAAAATTTAAAGTTTTCAGGGCATTTCCAAGGATCCTGGTTTGGTTAATTTGCTCTACCACTCAATCCTGTTGCTCTGGTGTTCCTCATCCAGATTTCCTTTGCTAAAAAACCTTTCCTAGTATGTCGTCAAAGTTAAGTTCACAGGTTAAACCTTAATAGTGTCCCTGTTTTGTACTACTTAACCTTCCACCTTTACAAATACTTTGCCCCGAAGTAGAAATCGCCGTTGGTGAAGGAGTAAATTGCAGTGTTGTACTGTAAAGTACTAATAGACATGGTCATGTGCCACAAGTTAATGTTAACAACTTTCGAGGTTATATTTGGCCAAAATTGTGACCCATGTGAGATCGAACTCTTAGGTAGTTCCATCGAACGAATCCACAGAAATCACTGTATTTGAACTTAGGCAATTTCTAATGTAAATCATGGCAGCGTAATTCATTTCACATGAAAATTACACTACTCTTGTGTTTATGAATTCTCATTGAGAGCAGGACAAATAGATTTAATTTTGTTATAACCTCGATGGCGTTCCCACGTTGCTTTCCCCTAGGCCATTAATGCTTAGTTGCTGCTTGTATTCATTTTAACTCATTTTGTTTTACCTGGGAATCCTTAGTTTTGATGATGGGGAATAATCCCCGTAATAGCCTTTACAATCTTTTTAGGGGAGCTAAAATTACTTGGAAGGGTTTTTTTACTGTAATCAGAAATTTCTTTGTCTTAACTGTAATTATCATATTCTGAAATGGTCGTGGGAGGTTAGAATGTAAGCCATCACCAATGCCATGCTATCAACTTTGTATTCAATAAACCTGGAATTGTGTAACGATCGCCTGACCAGTCACCTTTGGTGATCGCAGGTTCGTAACCACAAATTAAGTCTCCTCTGGTGTTCCGAGTATTTCGATGCTGCCACCATCGCCAAATATAGGTGATGTATTCCATCATTAAACCCGTTTTGGTAGTTATTTGGAAATACAGGATGAATTTGACCTAGTTTTGACTCATATGTAGAAAAAACAGGAGTTTATAGTTGCACTTAAATTGACCTTGGTGAATGTGCTTAAATTTTATTTCGTCCATTTGGAACAAAGGTATTTGACGAGTAGACTGTTGTAGTTAATTTAGCACACACACACCGCCATACTTGTTGCCGCTAATCTGGACTCCAGTCTAATTTGATTGCACCGAGTTACTCGGCAGTCAGACAGTGGTAAAATGGTTTCACAAATCATCCATTATGCAAATTAGCTCAATCTAAAGAAACGCAAAGTATTTTACGAAACGTTCTTTCTTGTAGATTGTCGTTTAATATATTCGAACTCTTTCTAAATAGATATTAGGTACAAACATTTAGGGATCTGAGTAGAAGTCACAAGTTAACGAGTGGTTACTTTGGTCGAAGACTGGGCTTTAGTTAGGTTGGCTAATCAAACCATCAAACTGACGAAATACCATAAGCTTAAATAAGCCAGGCGTCGTGCATTCGTAATTATGACTTCGTTTTGTCTACCTCCTTTAAACATACACGGGGACTCTCATGGTTATTAACCTTCCAAAACATCCAGCATTTAATGCAAATTGTCCTAATGTTGTCAACTATTTCTATAACTTCGTTACATCAAAAAGTTGAATTACGTGATTTGGCAACATATTTTATAAGTAGTCAGTCAACTCCTCCAATAATGCGTCAAAGTTCCAGGAAATGGTGGTCGACTTCGACTTTTATTGAGCGATGTTTCCGAGGTGTGAGAATGGCGTTCGTCCACGTGGCCATGCCTGGACAACGTATTTAGGAAGGCGTGTGGCATGCCGGCCTTTATACTTCCAGTAACAGATGTTGGTACGAATTAGCCATAGCGACATGTGCATCATTTTTCACCTATGAGAGCCATTATCGCCCATATTCTAAAGGAATAATTTTGCTACGGGGAAATTCCTAGCTTTCTCGTACCGTATTTCAAAAAGGCTTGTTTTCTTACAGCCGATTATTTGTTCCAAAAGATTTTGGTCATGAAGTACTTTATAAATGCAGTTTAACGGTGTTCTGAATACTAGAAATCGCTTTAATGACTTTCGATACAGCGAACACCTTTAATACTAACCAACGTACCTCTTGGATACTTTGGTACGCCATTTTGGTGCCTTTTTTAAAGACAAAGTAGGTACAATGTGCTCATTGTGTTGAACGCTCAAAATTTTTATGTTTCCGTTCATTTCTTTTTCATCATAATAAGTTGAATATTCGGACTTTTTTGAATGCTTAGCTCTGCCAAATTATTTCAGCATGATCTGTTTATCGGGTACTATTTTCCCTTTAGTCCCGCTAAGCCAAAAAAGGTTTAAATGCACCTAAATGTTTGTTGATAAATCAGAATTAAGAACATTAATCAAATCTAAAGCGTTGTTATAAAACGTCCATTTGAACGATTTACTGTGCATTCGTGCTAGTAAAATTTTTAAATACGTCCAATTACGTCCAGTTAAAAATTACCTATAATTTTGCTATTCCATAATTGTTGACCTTGACAATTATTCTTAAAATATGTTCAAAACTAACTATGGCTTTTGCGTGCTATGCATTTTTTACGCTAGTCCGTATTTTATTTATTTATAGTTTCATCAAGTTATAGATATCAATTAGGACCAGTAAATGGTGGTGATCTCTTTAACTCGAATAAACTCAACGAATTCCAATAATTCACTTAACTACCTTTCAGCTTTAAAACATTCATCAAGGTTAGAATGAGGTTTTGTTTTTATAGTGCGCAAGTTACTGAGCCAAGGCGTCTGTCCAAATGTAACAAACACCGACGGATTAACGGCTCTACACCAAGTGAGTTGTTTTATCACATCACTTTATTTGGCATTTTACCAATGAATTGTTGACTCGATTATCTTGAAAATTTTAAGACGCGTGCGTTGTAAATCAAAAAGACTAAGATAATTCATTCATGTTATTTCATTAATTTAAATACCTACTACAAAAGAATTCAATTGAAAGGCGTGATCGAGATCAGGATCGAGATCAACGTGGCGATTCACAACACAGTAATTAGAAGTTCACTAATTTTCTTAGTGAAAACCGTGAATGAAGAAACATGGAATCTTAGTTTCGCTGTCCTAAACAGTTGTAAAAATTTGAATTCAGGGTAGCACAATTCATTCAAATTGCAACCTTCGTTCCTATAGAGGAGATACTTGTCAAATCAATAAAGCGCTTTGTCAAGTTTTCGGCCAAATCCTCTGGCACAAACCCACATAGTCGGTTTACTTTTCCACGAGGAAGTAGCACTTCTATCGGTTGAAAATCACGCATTGCTCTTACTGCCTGCTGCTGCACTCACGCCCATAAAAGAGTAAATTAGTTTTTGTGCTTATTAATATTTTCTGGGTTCAAAAGGTGGCTGCTTCCTCAACGCCCAAAATAATTTCCTAAGCACGAAACCACAACGTGCTTAT